ATTGCCTCCCTCGCCGGTGTTACACTTCCCTCCGGTGAGATCTGGTCCGAATATGCTAACGGAACAGGCAAGTCACGACTCTCCATCTATTTAGCTACACGTTTCTCCGCGGAGATCATAAACTCCGACAAGATCCAAGTCTGCAAAGGTCTCCCTCACCAACAAGATCAAGACCGAGGAGAGCGCTGAGCACCATCAACTAGGTGTTTTGCCGTTTTCACCTTTCTCTGAATCCAATTTCTGAATGCACCTTTCTCAACCGTTCGATCTTCTCTCTCTGTCTACCTACAAGATAACCCAAAAGTGTTCTTCGTCATCCCTTAAACCACTTTACTGAACATCTCTTCTCTGTCTCCCACGTTCAAGAACGGCTCCTTCCTCACAAACCAGTCATCGGCTATAGCCTTGACGTAAGAGTTGGAACCTCTAATGAAATTAAACTGGAAACTTTCAATGGAGAGATAAGAGATTCACTACATGGCGACGGAAATTTGGGGTGGTTTTTGTCAGGCATCAGGCTTCAGGGCGGCAGGCGTAGGAGATGGTAAGGTACGTATGCCGTAGCTCTCCTCAGCCGTGGTCTTGTTGGTAAAAATGTCGAGATCTTGGTAGATTTGGATCTTGTCGGAGTTTATAATCTCGGCGGAAAACGTGTAGCTAGATCGATGGGCAATCGTGACTTGCCTGTTACGGCAGCACCACCATATGGGTTTAGAGCGAACCAAATCTAACCGGAGGGAAGTCTAAAACTAGCGATGGAGGCAATGGCTGTTTGCGCATGGATGCTTCATGATCATGATGATACAATTATATATAAAACTTTGCATTACCATTAACCAAATTCAGATGTAAGGATAAAAGTAAAAAAAAAAAAAAAAGAAGAAGTAGGTATTATTTCTTCAAAGATGGTTTTTATTTATATGGTTCGTGTGCATGAATGATATGGTTTATATAGAGGGTCACACACTTGGGGTTCGGTGATATTAACACGTTACGAATAAAATAAGGGGATGCTCGTTTCTATAATTTGGTCAAAAGTCAAAACCTGTAAGTTACATTGGCTCCATTTTATTACTCAAACGCTAATTGCACTTAAATGACGTGGTAATGTATATCTTTCGCAAAGTTATTTTTAGAAATTTTATTGTTTCGATTTTCATATTTCTATTTGTTAATGATTAACTAACAAAACACTTCACAATTCATTCTCTAAAATGTAGTATATTTACCTACAAATAATTTTTCAATGTATTTTAGTTTTTCAACATTTTTATATTTTAGTATATGATTCTTAGCCAAATATGAAATGTGAAGTAGTTCTCACCCGCTACTGTGTACAAGAGATTGAATTCAAATTGATTGTATCTAAAAGTTGGTCGTGGATACAAATATATCGCAAAACTAATAAATAGATTAAATAACACGCAAAGAAGTTCATACTTCATACTTCGCTCGACTTATACATTCTAATCAGACGATTCATCCCTTCCTCTGATTTCTTTATGCCCATACAATATATAAAACAATAAACCCATTCACGGAACTTGTAGTATACAAAGTCGACGCAGCGAGTGTTACATCTACAACAAATTGGTCGACTGTTGCTGTTGTTGCGAACGACTTTGACACTTTTTGAGCTATAGTTAAATTCGTAGCCATACCTCATGTAAACGGAGGATCCATATATGCACTCACGGTGGATAGTAACACAACATTTCTTGCATATGTAGAACCATTCAGTTTGATCTAAATGCTTCTCACATACTTCGCACCAGTACGTGTCAGCCACTTCTTCTCCATAGCAAAGAGTGAGAGGATATGCGTCGTATTTGTAGCATATCTCATCTGGAATTGTAACGCATCCACAACACATAGCAAATTTGCATATTGTACATTGTATGTGTGTGATTGAACATCTTTTCTTGCAACTTCCACAAAGAATTTCATCATTACTCTTAAAGAATGTAGAGATGACTAGTTGGTGTTCATGACTTTTATGAGTGAAAACATCAGGAATCAAGATGCATCGAATGTCTACCAAATACTGGTTACTAGGTAATAACCCACACCCTGTGCGGAGTGAAATAATAATTATTTATTTAATATAGTATAATTTTAAAATCATATAGCAAAATACAATTGATTTTATATGAGTTGTTTATAACATTATGCTGCAATATTGACAAAATATTTTTTTTTGTTTATTTTATGAAATATAGGATAATTTAATTCTAATGTAAATTAGTTTAAAAATTAAATATATATGCGCAATCTGAATAGAAATACGAAATTACTCTTTATATTTTCTATAACCTTAATAACATGATCTTAAAATTCAAAAAAAAAAAAATAAAGAGAGTATATTTTGATTAAATTATTAAGTATCTAATGCGTTATGATAATAAAAATTTACTACTTTCTCTGTTTCATAATATTAGTTTTTTTAAGGTTTTGTTTTGTTTCACAATATAATTGTTTTCATTTTTTTACTACTTCCTATGAATACTATGTGACCAATTATATTTTTTAGTTTTTCATAATTAGTTGAATTATATTTAATTTATATACTAAATGATTACATTTTAAAGAAAATTTGCATTTTAATCTTTGTGCTTTGATGCAAAACAACTTATATTTTGAAATAGAGAGTATTAAAATTGTAAAAATAAAATTTATTTCATAATATTAGTTTTTTTAAGGTTTTGTTTTGTTTCACAATATAATTTTTTTATTTTTTTTACTACTTCCTATGAATACTATGTGACCGATTATATTTTTCAGTTTTTCATAATTAGTTGAATTATAATTAATTTATATACTAAATGATTACTTTTTTTAAAAGAAAAGTTGTTTTTTAATCTTTGTGCTTTGATGCAAAACAACTTATATTTGGAAATAGAAAGTATTAAAATTTTAAAAATAAAATTTGATTATAAAATTTTATAATCGATTTTAATATTTCTTATACGAATGTGAATGCATATTTAGATTAATCCGCAAAAACTATAGTCAAGAATATTAACTTTAAAGAAAGAAAATACTGTGAAATTTATTTTAAATATACATAAAGATTATATAAAAATAAATTATATTTTTTTATTTTTAATAAATTATATAAAATTGTATATAACTGAGTCAATACTTCTACATTCTTAACTTTTTGATTCAATAAAATATTTTTAATATAAAAAAGTTTAGTAAAATTATTCTATAATATCCTTACAAAAATATTTTAGTTTTTTACCAAGTTATTTTGTTGTATAAACTAAACATTTATGACATTTAACTTTTTAATCAAATAAAATATTTATAATATTATATTCTATTAACATATTCAACTATTTTTTATAGTTCAACTTTTTATTAGTATTTTGTACTTATTATAAAGTTTAAATATTTATATTATTTGGTTAATTTATATGGTTTTAAAACCATATGAAACCAAAAATAATTATAATAATAATATCTATTAAATTAAGCTTCCTGTTTTTTTTTATTATTTATGTGTTTTTGTATTGATTTATGAATCATCTATCTACACGTCCTTATTTTAAATTTTAGTCTTTCAAAACATACTTTTATTTATTAATCATTTGAGTAATTTATATTTTTTTTTATGAAATTCGAATTATAACACAGAAAAAAAAATATATATATATATATATATATTACTATATGAATGATGTGATGATTTATTTTCCTTAAAAAATAAAAGATAAAATATAGTATTTAAATAAATAATTAATATGATATATTTTTGGTAAGAAATGGAAAAGAGAAAATCTTGATGAATTATCATCAATATAATTGATATAAACTAATGTATAACCAAATTTATGTTAGTGGCATACCATGTAATTAATCTAGTAACATAAGTCTATTTTTATAACTTTGCTGAAAATGATTCTGGTGATGACACATCAGCAAAATGGCACCACTTTAATATTTTAAATTAAGGTTATTCTTTAAAAATATTTCTCTTTTAATATATAGGAGATTTTCAAAGCCAGACACGTAACCGGTTAAGTACAATCAGTTATTCTTCTACATTCTTAACTTTTTGATTCAATAAAATATTTTTAATATAAAAAATTTTAGTAAAATTATTATATAATATCCTTACAAAAATATTATAGTTTTTTACCAAGTTATTTTGTTGTATAAACTAAAAATTTATGATATTTAACTTTTAATCAAATAAAATATTTATAATATTATATTCTATTAACATTTTCAACTATTTTTTATAGTTCAACTTTTTATTAGTATTTTGTACTTATTATAAAGTTTAAATATTTATATTATTTGGTTAATTTATATAGTTTTAAAACCATATGAAACCAAAAATACTTATAATAATAATATCTATTAAATTAAGCTTCCTGTTTTTTTTTATCATTTATGTATTTTTATATTGATTTATGAATCATCTATCTACACATCCTTAATTTAAATTTTAGTCTTTCAAAACATACTTTTATTTATTAATCATTTGAGTAATTTATATTTTTTTTTATGAAATTCGAATTATAACACAGAAAAAAATATATATATATATATATATTACTATATGAATGATGTGATGATTTATTTTCCTAAAAAAATAAAAGATAAAATATAGTATTTAAATAAATAATTAATATGATATATTTTTGGTAAGAAATGGAAAAGAGAATATCTTGATAAATCATCATCAATATAATTAATATAAACTAATGTATAACCAAATTTATGTGAGTGGCATAACATGTAATTAATCTAGTAACATAAGTCTATTTTTATAACTTTGCTAAAAATAATTCTGGTGATGACACATCAACAAAATGGCACTACTGTAATATTTTACAAAATTAAGGTTATTCTTTAAAAATGCTTCTCTTTTAATATATAGGAAATGTTCTTGCAATTACTATCAGAGCATGTATATGAAAAACCACTAAACTTTCGGAAGCATGCTGAACAATCCATGGTGTAATCGTTTAGAGGAGAATTTTGTAGGACTAGACGATGACGATGCAATGCATGTTCTATCTTTCGAGGAAGATTAGCACATACCTCATGGAGATAGTAATCACATTGTGTGCATCTATAGAAACCATGCTGAGAGTCGATAGATAATACGCACGCTTGACACTGTTTATCTTCATCTTGAACTTTGTCATACTTTCCAAACCTAAGATGATGGTCATGACAGAAATGCTTTATCAAATCCACGCCCACCTTCTTGAATGACTCAATATCTTCAATATTGTCAAGATCTTTTTCGGGTTCCCATTCGAGTTCACTCCCATCCCATACTGTCTTATGCGTTGCACATTTGGAATGGACTAAATAAGAGCACTCCTCGTGACTACAAGAATATTTGCCATACTTTAAATCAACTGTCTTGTAGCATATCTTACATGGTGAAATTGTAGGTGGAATGTGAGGAGTGTAAGAGATTCGATGTGGGTGACGCGTGATTTTTATAACGCGTGGTAAGTTGATACAACTCTGATGGACCATGTAGTTACATTGAAAACAAACATAACTTGGTTCTAAAGTATTGACGAACCCACAAGCATCACATGGATTTGAGAATGGTCGGGGAAAAAAAAGGAGAATGGCTTTTTGGATTTGTGATAGAAAGAGGAGGAAAGGCTTTTGCGCAAGAAAGATCTAAACAAAAGCTACAGATTAAGCAACAATAGAATGTTTGGCTGAGACCTCTTCCGCACCAAGTGCAGTTTTGGAATAAGATGTCAACTTGTGGCTGAGTAATCTTATGATCATATATGATCTTGATTTTGTTGGTGAGAGTGAGAAGATGTTGGAGGTGATAAGGATGTTGTATATGCTTTAAAAGCTGATGACAACCATTGTGGAAATCCACATTGCAACTGGTGCATCTATAATGAAAATTTTCTGTCGATGAGGATTGCTTTTTGCATGTAAAGCATCCAGATGGAGGGTTTTGGCCAACTCCATGGGAGAGAGTGTGAGGTTGAGCTGGATCGGACATACCACATCTCACCCCTTCTTTAGCAAAAGTTTGGCCCATTTCTCTGATCGATTTGTAAGTCTGAAAACCTATGCTTTTACTCTGTTATTCCCATTTTTCACGTCATAAGAAACAAAAGATAATTAAATCATTTAAATAAAAAGTAGCTCCATATTTCTATGTACACAACAACCCAGTGTACCATTCATATGATTTAAGAATTACAGTGCACACAATTTAAGATGCAACTTGTGTTAGACTATCACTAAGAATTACCTTGCACACAATTTAAGATGCATGTTGTTGTAAATTATCACTAGCTTGTCTCCTACATCGAAAATACAAAGTCTTGGGTTCGTGAGAGGACAAGCTTTTTCCTTGCTTTATTAGTTTAGCAATATTTTTTACTTGCTAATCCATTGTTTCGTTTTCTAAAAATAATATTATACTATGTGTGGACATGAAAGTTTTATTAAAAATTAATTAATAAATAACATTTATCGTTTATAATAAATAAGTAATTGATCTATTTAGTAATATATTTGTAAGAAATTTAATGTGTGAAAAAACTTTTTAATAGATTTAAAAAATTATATATATAGCAAAAAATACAATGTACACAAAACTCAAAATAATTTTTAAAAAATTGCTTCAAAAATATGAATCCAAAAATATTTTGTCAAAATTTTGATTTTGCAAATTTTCAGTCAGAAAAATGAATCCAGAAAAAAAATTTACCAAAAAATTTACATTGAAAATGTGATTCCAAAAACTAACAGTTAAAATTTTGATTTCATGAATTTTCTGCCAAATAAGTAAAATCGTAATTCTTTGGCCAAAAAGCTTACTTAAAAATATAATTTCAGAAAAACAAATTGTGAAAACCCGACTCTAAAACTTTTCTGACAAAAACATGAATTTGTAACTTTCTCACCAAAACATGTATTTTAGAGTATTTTAATTTGATTTCATGATTTTTTTACCAAAAATTATGAATCCATAAATTTTCTTCAACAGTGTGATATCAAAAACTTTTCGGCAAAATAGATTACCATAAATTTCCCACTAAATACTTGAAATTCATAAATTTTCAGACAAAATTTATGTCGAAAATATGATTTCAAATCTATTTAGCAAAAATCTCATTTTCCAAATTTTCTGCTAAAAACTTGGGTGCTTAATTTCGTATCAAAATTTTAACGTCATATATATATATATATAATGTCACTAGATTAGGACCCGCATATATGCGGAGTTTTTAATAAGATATTTATAAATATGTAGAAATAAGATGAAAATAAAATTGGAAAATTCATACAGAAAAATATAAATTAAAAACATCAAAGAAAAACTTCAAAAATTAATAATAATGGTTATGTTTCATCAAGTATGAGTAATTCAATCATAATCTCAAATAAGGCATACTAACATGCGATAATATGAACGTTTTGTATGAGGATATTTACGTGTTTATAAAGATGTCAATAGTATTTTATATATTTTTGTAGGATTGTAATTTTAACTTATGTTTTCCTAAATTTAAGTTAATTTTATTTACTTTTATATTAATTTTCATTTTCTTAATTGAAATCAATCTTCAATTGCCTTTTAGGATTAATGTTTTAACTCATACTAGATATTTACCCACGCTACGCTGCAGAATTTTTTTTAGATTTTATATATATTTTTAATATAATAAAGTTATTTTTATAATGTAAATGAGTTTATATTTATTTTTTTATTAACTAAAGTTATGTATTTATATGTTTTAAATCTGAATAAACATTATATATTCTTAATTTTTTTATTTTTTAATATTATAATCTACTATCAAATTTGTTTAACTTACTATCAATAAATGTATATGTAAGAATAAAACAATACATTTTAATTATCTTCATGCTAACAGCAAATGTAATTTATTTTCTCTACTAAATTGCCACTTGGTCTTTTTTTAAATTATATAAAGCAAATTACTATTTTTAAAAAAACTATTAATTAATATAATTATTTTGAATTATAAGATTTATTTATTTATCAAATATTTATTTATAAACATATGTTTCCAAAACTACCAAATTATAATCAATTGCATTCTCCTGAGAAATTATGTTTCCCCCGAAAACTAAGAGATCGTATTTTCCCGCGAAAACCAAAAAATCACATTATATGTCAAAAAATGAAAATTTGCATTTCCCATCAAAACCGAGAAATTGTTTATTTTCTCCAAAATTATTTTCCCATTAAACCGAGAAATTGCATTTTCTGCCAAAATCGTCAAATTACAATTTTCCACAAAACTAAGAAATCACATTTTCCCCCGAAAATCAAGAAATCACATTATCCATCAAAAGCTGAAAATTTACATTTCCTATCAAAACCGAGAAATCGTATTTTTCGTCAAAATTGAAAAGTTGCATTTCTCTCGTATTTTCTCGTTAAAACTAAGATATTTTGTTTTCGCGTCAAAATCAATTTTGTTCCACCTAAACCAAAAATTTACATTTTTCCGCCAAACTCGAGAATTCGCTTTTTCCGCCATTACTGAGAAATTATGTTTTCCTACCAAAACTGAAAATCGTATTGTCCTACCGAAACCAAGAAATTCCCTATTTATGTCAAACACATAAAAATTTGTTTCTGGTAACCACCGAAAATGCGAATCTTCAAGTTGTGGTTGTCTGAGCTTCTCCTCATTTGCTTTCAACTTCCATTTTTTTGTAAACTTTGGGCTTTTTAATGGATCTACGAAAAAGTAAACTGATTTTATTAGTGTGTTAATGATATGTATTATTGTTATGTTTTTATTGGTTCAAATTTTTGCTGAATGTGTGAGCTTCTTAGGCTTTTTTGCGTTGTTGTTATGGAAACATAGTTGATGATGAACTTACAATTTTCTCAATCATATATGTCTTTGTCAAACAAATAGATAGCTGGAATTTTATTTATTTATTTGCTGTTAATTATTATTTGGGTTTGAGTTTGCAAAAAATAAAACAAAGATTAAATCTTTTTTTTATTTTCTGTTACATATTTATTATTTGGGCTTGGGTTTGGCAAAAAATAAAACAATTTTTTTTATTTACTGTTATTTATTATTTAGGCTTGGCTTTAGTGAAAAGTAAAACAAATATTGACAAAAAAGTATTTAAGTTTTTAATGGATTTAAATTTAAATATTAAAATAAGTAGATGAGTTGTATTAATAAAATATTTTTATTGGTGATTTTTTTTGCTTATGTGTCATCTTAAGAAAACTTGAAAAAGCTTAGATATTTTCACCAGGAGAGATTTATGTATTTTAAGTAGATGCATATTTAAGTTTGGAGATTAATCCATCAAATCATTCTATATGTAATAGGAAGGGAAATTACTAGGCATCAAACCATATATCAAACCATATATGATATTTGTTTTGAAAGACGTGACTTTACATTAGTGTTTGTTCAAAAATGGTTTAAAGATCTCGAAAGTCGTTGTTTTTTGTTTTAGTCTAGACTCTAGACAAGCATACTTGCAGAAGCAGAAGTATCTAAACATAATCTGGTTATGAACTTATGATTATCTAAACCGGAAACTGAGCTTAATCATCAAAACGAATTGTAATTTAAATTCGGTTAAATTTATAAATGTTTGCCAACATATTATGTAATTCTTATCGAACCTACAATAAAAATGACCTAATAATACATCCTACCATTCTTTTAATTTACACGCTACTCATCTTTTATTTCTGTTCAATTTTCCTTACATATATGATGTAACGAACGTATAATGCAGGAATAGACTTACGGATAATCCAACCAAAAATTCCAAATCAAGCCACCCAATTCAGTTGAAATTTTATTTTAAATGAGCTGTATTAATAAAATATTTTCATTGGTGGATTTTTTTGCTGAAGTGTCATCTCCTAAAAACTTGAAAATATTGATGTGTCAAATTATGGAGAGACACTTGTGTTATTGTTGTGTTGATTTTCTTAAACTGAAGTTAATCTTATTTACTTTTGTTTTACCTTTCTTTTTTAATTGAAATACATTCTTATAATTTATTAGTTTCAATTATTTTTTTTTTAGTTTTCTTAGTTGAAATATATCATTATATAATATTCTTTTTCTTCTTTTAAGATTACTCTTTTAGCTTATATTTCCTGTTTCTTTCAGTATTAGTGTTTTAGTTTATATTTCTCTAAATTGAAGTTAATATTTTTTTCTTAATTGAATATATCCTTTTTTGCTTTTGTTAAATTGGAGTTGATCTTTTTTACCTTTTTAAAATTTTATTTAATATTCTTTTCATTTTTAATTGATATATATTTGTGTATGTAGATTTTCTTTTATTTCTATTTATTTTTTTAATCGCAATGTCAAAATCTTATCGATTTAAATCACCACGTATTGTATGTTATTTACTTTTGTTTTAGTTTTCCTTTTTTAATTGAAATAGATTCTTTTATTTTATTTTAAATTTAGTATTTTATATATTTTCCTAAATTAAAGTAAATTTTATTTTATTTTTATGTTTTTTTCCTTGTCTTAATTGATATATATCATTATTTTTTTACTTTTGGCAACTGAACTTAATCTTATCTACTTTTGTTTTTATTTTTTCCTCTTCTTAATTTAAATTATTTTTTCGGTTTTAATTTATATATATCTTTTTTTACTTTCTGTTTTTTTTTTATTTTCTGATTTTTTAATCGCAACATATTTTAAAATTTTATCGATTTAAATCATTATATGTCACGATTATGTAAATTACTAACTTTGGTGCATCCACTTTTATATAATAAGATAAGATTACGACTTGCATATACACAGATTTATAAGAATAGAAAAAAAAATTATTTTTCTTTTAGGATTAGTGTTTTATGTTATTTTTTTTTTTGCAGACGAAAATATATATTTAATTTTAATTATCTTTGTTTTTTATAATTTTAGTAGAGACATATGTCAAAATAGAATCGAAAGATTTGCCACGTGTCACGATCATATGAATTACTAACTTTGAAGCATTCAACTTTATATAATAAGATCTAACAATACATAAATAATAAGTAATATATATAATTCTTACATCCTGAGTAGTATTTCCTGTAATTTTTGAACCATTTTTATCAAATATAACAAAAATTTGCAGAATCTTTTCTTTTATTCTTTTTCTTTTAATTTCTCTTATTTATTTTTATTTTTATCTTTATTTTTAATGAAAATATATATTTTTTTTCCTTCTAGAATTAGAAGTTTATCTTATATCTTTTATTCTTTTTCTTTTAAAATTAGAATTTTATCTTATTAAGTTAATCTTATTTAATTTAATTGCGACACATGTCAAAATCTGATTGTTTGACTCGCCACATGTCACGATTATGTGAATTACTAACTTTGACGCATACAACTTTATATAATAAGATGTCACAAGCCACATATGATTAAAAAAAGAATGTCACAATTACATCAATCTTTAGACGTCATCATTTCCATGTCATATTTGAACTGTTCAAATTAAACATATTAACTAATAAAATTAAAACAAGTCAGCATTTTTTATTAAATTACATTTTAAAAAAACTACATTCTCAGATACTCAAGTTTGATAATATCTAAAACCAAAACATCATGATAGTGTCCTTATAGTTTATCTTGAATGTTGGATTAAAAACTTCTTGATGGTAGAAACATTCCATTGCACCTTACAGCTCAACATGAAGGGCAGCTATCCTATGGTACTTATATTACGATCTAGTGACGTATAAGTTTCTTAACCATAACATATCAAAAGAATTTTCAGCTTTATATCGATCTCATCTCTCCAAATCATACAAATAGCATCAAATAATGTAAAAATGAAACAAATTCTTTTAAGAAAAACAACGTTAATTAATGTTGCTCCAACAATGAAATTTTCTTGGTTGAATGCTCTCTCATTGGTCGCAAATGTCTGTGTATCGTGTTAGACTTCATCACTCCATATCTCTAAGGCTCTCACTAGTCAACCACAGCTTCTTCTGAACAACTAACACAACGTTGTCTGAATCTTGATCTGAATCTGAATCTATCTTTGTCCCTACTTCCTCCCAATGCAATGCCTTTAGATACTTCTTCACCAAATCCACCGCTCTCTGTTTATCCCTTATGATTATAAACCCGCTCGGGCGCAATATCCGATCCATCTCAAGTAACAAATCAACCTCACTACACCCTTTCTTCTTGATATCAGATATAATGTCCCAACCATGGAGAAGATCATAGGTTCTTGGATATGTCGAGAATGCTTCACACCTGTGGTGCAATGAAACCAAATGATAGAATAAAAAAACTTGGTTTCATTTTTTGTCATTTTGATTCAAGTAGAAACTGACCAGCTATGAACCGCGCCCATTAAACCTCTGTCGTATATCAGTTTAAGCGTGTTAGGACCGTCCTCAGGAACAACATTCATCACCCAAACATCTTTATCTTTCAGAGCAGCAGCAAATGATCCCATGCTTGCTTTCATGTCCATTATGTTCCTCACTGTATCTGATTCGATTACAGGACTCAAGATATCCCAATAACTATCTACTCTCTGCCTCCAAAGTTCCTGTAACGAAATAACAAAACATATGATGTGATTGGATTAGCCCATGTTCTTTAGTTTGTCAGTTGCAAAGATATGGTGTTTCTTCTATATACCGTGTCTTTCTCAAACATTCCATTTGAATAACCAAAATCAGCAAGCCTAGGAGGAGGAGAGGTTAACCGAACCGGCCATGGAGCTAAACCACTTCCCTTGGTTTTATGATCATCTAACAAAAAACACACCCAAAAAAGAGTTTAATAACAATCTTGATTTCATTTTTTACTATCAAACAAAACTTATTAATCTCAAAAACTTACGGTCAGTGTAAGGAGTAATGCAAGCTTCCATGTTCACTCCCCAAACAGCATCAGGATCATTATCAGAACGGCACATAGGAGGCTGAGTTCCAGATTCTCTTTCAAGATAACAATCATTACTCAAAGGCTTCTCCCAAATCACAGTTTGGTTCCTTTTAGCAGCTATCTTCCAACACATACGCTCCACAAGAGCACTCATCTCCCTCCAGATCCTAAGATCCTCTTCGTCTTGCGCATACGCCTCAGGAGATGAATACGCAAAGTAGCCACCGGGTCTAAGCACTCTGTCTAGCTCGAGGAGAAGGATACCGTCTCGTTGAAGCCAATCGATTCTGCAACGAGAACAGTGAGCAAGCTCGAAAGACCTGCTCGGGTAAGGGAGCCTCTTTGTCCCTAAAACACCGAGGGAAGCAGGAATGCCTCTTTCGAGAGCGAACTGGATTTGGTTCTGATGCACATCATTAGGAGCCAATGACATTGTCAAGATATCAGAAGATAGAAGATAACCTCCGAAGCTAGCAACACCACAACCAACATCGAAAACCGTCCTTAGCTTCCCACCGTTGTTGAAAACGTTGTTGGGAAAGTTAAGCATCTGGTTAAAAAAAACATTTCCAAGAAACACAATCAAGAAATGAAAGAGTAGTTAAACATAAACGCAAGAAACTGGAACTTACATTTGCCATTGATGCAATGTACTTATCAGCACCGTAGTGAAAATGTGTGCCACCACCAGGGAAATTGATTTTGTCTCCTTTAACAACCATCCAGTTTTGGTCAGACTTCTCATGTGCAAGATGAGTATGAGGTATGTTCACTTTCCACACTTCGTCTCTGCTTTTGGGCCATTTAATTGGAACCTTATTCCCAAAAGAAAACAGCTTTTTAGAGTCAGTGATGAAATCAACAATGACAAGAACCACTGACCATAGATCAAACCTTATATCCATTAGGAGGAGGAATCAAGCAATTGAAACGTCTTTCAGAAGGAGGACAATGTCGTTCATAATGCTCCATTAAAGACAAATCAAGCTTCAGTCTCATTTGGTATATGAGATTCCTGTCTAAGCAAGGAATAAGCTCTGAATGCTTATCATCACACACCTTCGGAAAAAAAAGAACAAACAACATTTAGACACTTGAACCTAACTTAACCACCATCAAATGAGGAAATGAGAAAAAGCTTGAAGAAGACTCACAGGAAAGCTTCTCGGAGTGAAACCATCATCGAGACCAAAGGAACTGGAACTATCATCCTGTTTGGTCTCATCTTCATCACCACCACCTAACCCTAGTTTTCTCCCATATTCAATAGCTGATGCTCTGTGATCAGAGGATCCGTAGAAGAGATAAACGCAAACAAGGACTAACGCTACAACGCAGACCAAAGCGATCACTTTTTTCTTTTGCCCTCCTTCTGATCTTCCCTTCATAGCCTTTGTAGTTTGAGATTCAAATGTTGGGACTTGAAGGATGCAGAGCACTAAGAGGAGACTTCAGTACAAGAAAATTGATGATTTACTTCACCGGTTACAGAACTTTGGATCTGTTCAGTGTGAAAAAAAAAAGACAATGATCAATGTGTTTAAGTAATAGAAGCAATGAGATCTCTAAGAAGATATTAGACTTAAGACATGTGAATAACTTAGAAATTCAGGACAAGAATGGTAAGCAAATAATCATAAAGCTCTACAAAAACTAACAAAACCCAGAAATGCCAATCTTTGGACTCATCATCAATGGTACCAAAGAAACTGACACTTCACACTATTCAGAAAACAGTTAATCCTCAGTGTCCTGCTAAAAAAATGAAATCTTTCTATAGGGAACAGGGGATACGTATATATGAAAAAGCTTTCATTACAGATCTGGTGTGAGAAATAGAAGCAGAATCTCTCTAATGGACAAGATGAAACAGAACCGGATCGACCAGTAATACACTAGCCTGTTCGTACCTCCAACAATTTGAGGAAAACAGAATTCGAAATTGAGGATTAAACACAGAAGAGAGAAAGCCCAGAAAGATTAAAGAGGGACTCACCCAAAGTATAAGCTTCAAGATTTGAGAAAGACAATGAGAGATGGAGCCAAAATCCGAGAGTGTATTGGATAGAGAGAGAGAGAGAGAGAGAGAGAGAGAGAGAGAGAGAGAGAGAGAGAGAGAGACTTGGATCTAAGGATTGCTTTTTTCTCTATCTTCTAAATTAGGAAAGAGACGAACTTCCTCTTCTCCTTATTGGTGGAAATGAGAATGAAGCAGCGAGAGAGACTGCAAGTGAAGAGAGAGAGAATGAGAGAATCCTTCGAGTCGGAAGGTCGTATTTTCTTTTTTTGGTTTTCTATTTTATCAAATTTATTTTTTGTCGGCGGTCTCTTCTGTTAATGGGGGATAATTGACTAAACTTCAATCTTTCTTTTTTTTTCTTTTTCTCAGATTTGCAAATTCTAGAAAAAAAAAATCCATTTTATTAAGACTAATGTGAGAAAAAGTAGTAAATTAAATCGAATCTTCTCAAAGTGAGAGGATGATGATCAAGTTTTGTAAAAAATGGTTGATCAAAAAGGTTCGCAATCTGGCTGTACGGATTGTTGTAGATAATAAATTAATTATACGTGTGATCCATTATACATCTACTTCTTTGAATTCATTACAAATCTTTATAGTGGTTGTATTTAGGGCCTTACAAAGACATCACGAAATAGAGTACAGTAACTAGACTAGAAAGTTATTTGATTAAATAAGCATCTATTACTTGTTTCACAAGTTTCCAAAAACACTTCGATTCAAAATAGCTATTTGGATATATGTTTCAACCAAACAGTCAAGATTATTGGTGCGGACCATCTATGAAGTGAAATCGTAAATCCATAAAAGACTAAATGAAAAAAAATTAAAGATCAAAACGTTATATTATAAATATGTTAAATTTAGATTAGTAAAATTTACATTATATGGTATCAATAATATGTTAATCTTAAATCTCTATTTTGAAAAATAAAATTTATACCTGGAGAAGTCAATTGACCGGTTTGTCTGTCCTCGATGTGATTGTCTAAAATATACGTGTTCTGCTTCATGATTTCACATACCACATTTATTATGCAGGGAGTATAAGAATAATTTGGAAAACAAGATGTGTATTTTGCAAATCATTTATAAAGTAAAATCTGTAAATCCATAAAAGATCAAATGGAAAAATTTGAAGACTAAAATGTTATATTAAATATGTTAGATTTAGATTAGTAAAGTTTACATAATATATGGTATTAACAATATATTAATGTTAATCTCTATATGTATCTTATTATATCATGTTCAATACAAATAACTCAATAATATATCTCATTCTTTTATATTCTACAAATATCAACGCGTTTCATGGAAAGGTCGAGGCAGAAAGCTAAAATCGACGAAACAGTTATGACCATACGCTCCAGACTGAGACGTGTATTGATACAAAACTCGAACACAAAACTAGGAGATAGTTACAATATTCACTACAAGAAAATACCAGGCTTAGCTATGGGTTTTGCAACGAATTACAACCGATGCTAAATTAGCATTAAAATAACAATACATTTTCAAAAATTACAAATTCCGACGTAAATTCATCCAAAGCATTGGATATTTGCGTTTTCTTAGCGTCTAACTTACAACGAATACCAAATTCATAGTTTATAACTGTACAAATTAATTAACGATGACTAACTTCGATTCAATGTATCAACGAATTTAGCAACAAATTATTTGGTAGGTCGTGTACTGATAATTCTACAACAACAAAAAAATTCCTCGTAAATTTGTTGCTAGCCTGACGTAAACTCATTGCAAATTGCGTTCATAATAAAATCGTTGGTAAAATTCAACGCTTTTCTATATAAGCAGCAGCCTTAGAGAGAAGCAATCACAAATCACAAATTTATTATAAAAGAACATAATACAAAATAGTGTTTTCCAACGGAAAAAATGTCTTCCGGTGGTGACGTATATAAAGTACAAAAATGAATATTCGAATAGAATGGTAACAAAAGAGTTCAGAGAAGAATGCACTAACAACTTTAGAAATCGGTAAGATGTTCGGTCCAGCCATAGAGGAAGTAGATATGATGATCTCTTTGTGCATTTGTTCAAACATGGTAGAGCTTAATGACCTGATCAATCTTGGAGCGACATACAGGACATCCCATTTTCTTGTCTTTGACCTCTTTCAAGCAAGAAATGCATCCAGCTACATGTCCACAAGGCACACACACTGCTTCACATGATGCATCCACACAAACCACACACACTCCAGATCCTCCACCATATTCTTTCTCCTCACAGTTTGCGTAAGGGAGTGAGATGTCGACATGAGCCATATCGACTGATGGATAGTCTATGTAACCGTCTTCTACTGCTTCTTCATCTCTCGATGGATGAACCGATGGCGTAAACTCATCGGATATTATGTTTTCATATGTTTTCAGAAACATTGGAGGATTCATTGGCTGTTTAATTTCACAATTAGTATCAAAAGTTTAAAATGAGACACATAAATAGCAAATATATTGAACTCTAAAGTTGTCTCTTATGGCAATAAATATATATATACCTGTGGAATTCCTTGACATGCCTCACAAAACCAATTTAGCTGTTTCATATCGCCTTTGGTTGCAGCTGCCAGCTTAAGTCGGATTTCTATATATATAAAAAATTTAGATTAAAATATAAACAAAATTATGTTTCTAATTAAAAGCGAATAGCTTCTATGCCTTGTTCTTATAACTTTTTTCATTGTTACTGAATTTTTAAAAGCTAAAATAGTTCAAAACTTACGCCTATCTACTTGAACCCAACGCCTCCCGTGAGAGATGTACCCCTTTCCTCTTCTCGCCCTCTTGCGACCTATATATATATATATATATATATATATATATATATCCATGATATAATAAAGTTTCATTCAATCAACAAGAAAGAAAATGATTACATCAAGATTGAAAAGTATCAAGAAAAATTACTTGTGGAGTTATCAACAATCATCACTGAAGCATCAGACTGATCTTGTTTTGGTTCCTCCAACTTGGCTTTCCACAAAGGCATCACCATCCTTGGTTGTGCATCCTATATCATCATCATAACAGTTTCATAAGTATAAAAAATCACAAAACTTGAACACAAACCTCAGTTTCATAATAGAAATGATGAAGTTTTTAAGTACCTCAAGACTAGCATACACAACCAACTCCAATTTGAAAGGCTTTGTAGGATCTCTTGAACCAGTTGGTACTATAACTACCCATCTGCAATTACACAAGTTCTAAAGAACATTCATATATATTCATGTGCAACAACAAGTATAAGAAAGAAAGTGCTATAAACTGAATTTACTCACACTCTTCTTGAAAGAAGCTCAGGAGCTAAAAATTCAAGAAAGCGAGGGCCATAAAATTCACGCATCCAACCAGAGAACAAACAGATGTGACTCTACAGAATCAAACAGTTTAAAACATTATTGGTCATGACAATTCATGTATTATATATACTCTTTAATCGCAGAAACAATGAATCAAGTATTACCTCGATTGCGCGTACAACATTGTTGTAACCTTTAGCTCTAGCTACCTCAAGAGGTGTTTGAAAATCATCATTTAAAACCAGTGGATTTGCTGCAAACAATATAAATGAAAACACCATAATAGGTTACTTAGAGTTTTTACTCATAAAAAAAAATTGGCGAGAAAGAGAGCAGAAACTTACCACCGTGAGACAGAAGTAACTTAACCGTGTTTTCAAGACCTCTGTTTGCAGCATGGTGCAGAGGAGTCCCGGCATTAAAACCTGATAACAATTTGTACATTCACTATTCACATTCCTAATTTTATTTTGGGACTAAAAGACTATAAAAACAAGGAGGGGAAAAAAAAAGATTCTTGATTATAGTAATTACCGGAACGATAAGCATTGACATTGGAACCCAAATCAACCAGAGTTTTTGCTGCATCATATAGATCTGATTTCGTACAAGCTAAGATTAATGGTGTTCTTCCTTCTGTATCAACCCACTACATCCAAAAACATACAGTGATAATTCAGAAACAAAAGAAAACAGAAACCATACAAAAACTCTAAGAGGATGATTTTAATGGATTTGAAGCAAACCTCGAGTCCTGCACCTTCATGGCGAAGGGATTTGATACTGTCGATATCGCTGTGACTCACTTGTTGAAACAGTAGCTCATCATTCGACTGTTGTTGCCCCATTTTTCACAAAAAAGTTTCCAAGAAATCAAAGTAATTTAACTCAGAAAAAATAAGAAAATCAGAAAAGATAAGGTTGTTTGTATTGATTCTGTTTCTTTGTAAACTCTTGATATTAATATAATTGACTTGGCAAAAACAAAACCAGTTTATGTATCTTTTTTGTTAAAGAGAAACTCAATTTTTATATAGAGTAGAGGATTGAAAGTTCTTGCATTTCCGTGTGGATGGATCGAGAAGAGATTGGAAAATTAAAAAGGAAATGATTACGAAAACACCAAGGAGTTTCTTCAATAAGACAAACTGAAATTATAAAACTTTTAATTTTCTTCTATTAGCAATGAAGTGTCGGAGAAAGTAAGGAGTTGACTGACTAAAGGACAACTATGCAAGACTTTAAAGTCAAACCACTTGGAGAAGAAATGGTCAAAGGAGACCAAAAAGACTTTCTACGTCACATTGTTCTCTTTCTTAACTTAAGAGACACGTTAAAATTAAAAAAAGGAGTCATCTAATGAACGGTTTAATTTAAACCGTCAGATTAAGCCCTTTTTCCCTAATAGAATTGAGCTGATGTCACCATTCCTATGTATTATTGTGAACGACACAAAGTTAAAAACCCTAATTTCTGTGTTCTGTTTTGTCGATTTCTTCCTTGGGAGAAGATTTTTTTTTGGTAACATTAATTTTTCTGTTCTGTCTTGTGGCGTTATTCCTTTGGAGGAGATGAGACGAGAAATCAAAAGAAAAACAATGAAGTTTACCGATCTCCCACGTGAATTGGAATCGGAAATACTTTCTTGGGTTCCGGCCAGATCTCTCTACCAATTCCGATTTACTTGCAGACGTTGGTACGCTTTATTTAAAGATCCAAGATTCATCAAGGATAACTCAGGTAAAGCAGCGACGCAGATGTTCTTAAAGAAAGATTTTCGTGTTCATTCGGTTAGCATCAGTCTCCATGGAACCCACCATGTAACACCCGTATCTTACTTCTATACTTCTTCGAGAAAGCATGTTATTTATCAATTTAAACCACAGTAAACCACAGTAAATCATTTACGAGTTCAATAATAATTCTTATTAAATTATGTTTAAATCGATTTAACATAAAATCGTTTTTAAACCAATAATAAAGAAAATTAATTAAAAATCATTTTTTAGTTTATTAAATAAATAATACTTAAAATAATAATAAATAAAAATGTCCGTGATCCCGAAAATGAGCATCATACTGATACGACTCCTCCAGCTATATCACACGTTCACTTACAAGGGAGAGGGATGAGTATTCTAACAATACTCAGTGAGTGCGAGCTTTAGAGCCCACTCAATCCATCATACACATTTATAACTACGGACATACGCAAGTCCTAAATTAAAACACACAGACAATCATCACGTCCTACCGACGCACCAATACAACAAGGATCAAGTCCTAATAAAACTATGGTGTCCCTGCTGGCTCCGAGAGTCCACTCGTCTGCTCAACAGCACCCGTCTCGTCAGACAACCCTGAACTATGACCGCCCACGCAAGGCTCGTCGTCACAGCTCAACACGCAAACGTATCACACAATGAGGGCAAACCCTTTTCACTTATGATTTCAACCCGCGGATACATTCGCCACATGCCCCAAAGCAACATAACTTATCATCTCGCAAACGATACTAATTTTTACCACACATTATCACACATTATTCATCTCATCAATCAACCGTATTCGTTTTTAAACAATCTGAATTTTTCTAAGTTTTTATCAATCAACAATGAATATATATATACCGAGCAAGTGAATGCTGCCGAAGCAGCTGCAGCTCAAGAAAATGCGAGAGCCACTGAGCATGCAGCTGTGTTGGAAGAGCTTCAGAGGTACCGAACTCAATTTGGGAATTTGCCCGAGAATCCAGTGGGAAGAGGAGCTGCACCGCCGCATGTTGAGCCGAATGTTGCTGCACATAACCAGCATCCACCTCCGCCACCTGTTGCACCAGTGCCAGCGCAGGGACTAACGTATTGGGAGGCCATGGACCGTTTAAGAAGCATGGGCACAGATCTCTTTGAGGGTAAGTCCAACCCCACAGTTGCGGATGCATCAGGATCAGGCCTAGGATGTGTACTCATGCAGGAGGACCGAGTTATAGCATATGCATCGAGACAGCTACAAAAACACGACACGAATTACCCGACTCACGATTTGGAGTTAGCAGCAGTTGTTTTTGCTCTTAAGATTTGGTGCGCCTACTTGTACGGAGAAAAGGTGCAAATAATGACAGAGCCTGGAAAGTCAAACTGGTTCTGTCCCATGAAACTGTCTTGGGTTTGGGGGTTAAGACCATCTCCAATCTATTTTGCTATTTTTTCCTCTAAAATAGAGAAACTCTAAAATAGAGGTAGATTTCTCTCCAATCCACCTCTGATTTAGAGGAATACCTCTATTTTAGAGGAAAATATAGAGGAACCTATTTTTTCCTCTATATTTGGAGGAAAAAGTAGCATCTCTATTTTTTCCTCTAAAATAGAGGTGGATTGGAGAACAAAAATGATACCTCTATTTTTTCATCTAAAAATAGAGGAAAAAATAGCAATAGATTGGAAATGCTCTAAGGCTCACATTATCGGGATCAGAATTCGGGGATGAATTCCAGTTTAGTGGGGAAGAATTGTAACAACCCGGGTCCGGTCCATTTGAATAAGTTTAAATGGATTAATTTGGCTACCTATGTCATCAAAGTGCACTTATCTTTTCGGTCATTGATCCCGAGAGAACTCTACAGTTAAGGGTGTTTGAGCTGGAGTAGGACTAGGATGGGTGACCTTTCGGGAAGTGATTCCTGAAACCGTGTGAGTGAAGCCAAAATACGGGGAAAGATCATGTGGTGATTGCAGGTCAGTAAATAAGTCGGTTGGGCTCCGGGAAAAATAACGCACCGACAGGGGCGAGGCCCACAAGCCCGACAGAGGAATGTGTGACTTGCCGGAATGGACGGTCAGGGGCGTTACAACCCACAACAGCTTTGATCCATCCACTGAGTTTAGAGGTACACTTGGAAGTCGAAAAGATTTAGAACAGGTCATGATATCTCAGATCTTTCATTGCGACGGTTTATTACTGTGCAACACCAACGACGGTAGAGTCCTATGACTGTGTACCGGTCAAACAAAGTGGATCCAAATCACAAAAACCTATGACTGTGTTCTAGGATACGAAAACAATAACAAATCTTTCGCTAGCTACAAAATACTGAAGCGTACCGTTTATTCCAAACCTTTCGGTGTTGAGGTTGAAATCTATGATTTTAACTCTGATTCATGGAGGGTTCTTGATGATGTCGATAAGAACTTGGCGATGAGATTTGGTGGCGTGTCTTTGAAGGGAAATACTTACTGGGTTGCTTGGGATAATGGAAACCTTTTCACTTATTTTATACTCAGGTTTGATTTCGAAAAAGAGAGATTTGAACGTCTTTCTCTTCCGTTTCAGTGTCGTCATGCTTCCGATGGGAAGTTGTCTCTCTCAGTTGGTAGAAAAGAGAAACTTTACCTGTTACTTGAGAGGCTTAACAGAGATTCATTAGAGATGAAGATATGGGTGACCGATACTAAGATGGATGAATCCAAAGATATCTGTATGAAGATATGGGTGACCGATACTAAGATGGATTTTGGTAAAATTATGATAATTGGTATGAAGACTGTGCGGAGTTTCTTGGTGGATGAGGAGAATAAAAGGGTCGTCTGTTGTTGTAGAGTCGAGGAAAATAGAGAGAAGACCCTAACCTACATTGTTGGAGGAGACCATAACATACAGGTATGTAAACAAGCTCATGGAGAGATTGCACAAGAACCATATAGCAATGATTTTCTGCCACTTCTCGTCAGTTATGTTCCAAGTTTGGTTCAAATTCAGAAAAGTGGAGGCAAATGTTAAAGGTGATTCCTCCATTTAAGTTGCATGGTCTTCTTTTTATTTTTTGTTGTTGTTGTCAAACAAGTTTCTTAGAACGTTATTAGTCAAAATATTTTGATGCGGTTGTTTTTCTTTTGTGATAAGGATATAATATAGTTTAATCTTTTATCTTATAAAGTGCATATAAGGCGGTTGCCTACGATCAATGTCAACAACAAAGTTCTTCCAAAGCTATTGATTCCTTCAAAACTTTATTTGAACAACAAGTATGACTCAAGTGTTGAATTAGTAGCTCGTCCTTCGCCACATTTTCACAAGAATTAGAAAAAATAAATGAATGAAATCTATATAAGTTTGATCGATAAGAAACTAGAAAACGAAAAGGGAAACGAGACGCAGCAAACACCAAAGACATTTTTTTGTTGTAGGAACACCAAAGACGTTGTTATATACCTCTTGACTTTCTTTTTTTTTTTCTTATTCTTAACAACAAAATGTTCAAGAACAAACTGAGGCCAAAAATGCTAAAGACTTGAGAATTATTGCCAGACTTGAAACTAAAAACCACTGGAGACGAATGGTCAAAAGGAGAGCAAAAAGTTCGAGATATACCTAGGGAAGTTGATTTTTTTTTTAAAAAAAAGGAGTCATCTAAACCGTTAGATTAAATTTTCTAGTTACTGCTGATGTCAGCAGTCCCGAAAATTATATATTACGTACATATGTCCAGAAGTTAAAACCCTAATACAGTATCTCTGTTTTTTTTTTTAGGTAAAATTAATTTCTCTGTTCTGTCTTGTGGCTTTCTTCCTTTGGAGGAGATGAGACGAGATATCAAAAGAAAAACAATGAAGTTTACCGATCTCCCACTTGAATTGGAATCGGAAATACTTTCTTGGGTTCCGGCCACATCTCTCTACCAATTCCGATTTACTTGCAGACGATGGTACGCTTTATTTAAAGATCCAAGATTCATCAAGGATAACTCAGGTAAAGCAGCGACGCAGGTGATCTTAAAGAAAGATTTTCGTGTTCATTCGGTTAGCATCAATTTCCACGGGACCCACAACAGGTTTGATCCATCCATTGAGTTTAGAGGTACACTTAAAAGCCGAGAAGGTTCAAAACAGGTCATGATATCTCATATCTTTCACTGCGAGGGTTTATTATTGTGCCTGACTATTAATGGCAACAGACTCGTGGTTTGGAACCCTTGTACTGGTCAAACCAGGTGGATCCAGCACAGTAATCGTAACAAAATGAACGATCACTGTGTTCTAGGATACGAAAAAAATGTCGGATCCTTCTGTAGCTACAAAATATTGAAGCCTATCTGTTATCTCAACGTCAACGCCATGAGAACCGACCCGGTTGTTGAGTTTGAAATCTATGATTTTATCTCTGAGTCATGGAGGGTTCTTGATGATGTCGATCAGAACTTGAGGATAAGATGTCGTGGCGTGTCTTTGAAGGGAAACACTTACTGGGTTGCTTCGGACATTAGTAACCCCTTCCCTCATTTCTTACTCAGATTTTATTACAAAAGTGAGAGGTTTGAACGTATTTGTCTTCCGTTCCAGTGTAATGCTCTCGACGTGATCAATTTCTCTCTCTCAGTCTCAGTTGTTAGAGGAGAGAAACTTTATGTGTTGCTTGAGAGGGGTTGTATAGATTCATTAGAGATGAAGATATGGGTGATCGATGAGGCCAAAGATACTAATATCCAATACTTTTTAGATGTGGATTTCGGTAATATTACGCTAACTGGTATGTCGACTGTGGAGAGTTTCTTGGTGGACGAGGAGAATAAAAGGGTCGTGTGTTGTCGTAGAGACAAGAAAAATAGAGAGAGGACCATATTTTACATTGTTGGAGGAAAGCATAATATATCTGTACGTAGACAAGCTCTTGGAGAGATTGCACGAGAATCATATGATTATTGGCCACTTCTCGTCAGTTATGTTCCAAGTTTGATTCAAATTCAGCAAGGGGAAGCGAATGTAAAAGGTGTTTTTTCGTCCATTTAAGTTGCATGGTTTCTTTGAACGAGATTAGTATTTAACTGCGGCCTTTTTTTTTGTTTAGTTTAATATTATACATTTTTGAGTTCTCTTTCAATTTCTTTTGATGATCTTACTTGAATACATTGTTTATTGTTTATAACTGCTTTGTCATTTATCCATCCTGGTGACCTTTCTTTCATAAAAACAAATCGAAGAGACGAAAGCAAATTAAAGAGTAGAAAGCTAAGAAGGTTGTTGAAAAAATCATCAATTAGGCACAACCTTACTTTACGTAACTATTTAGATGCATCACACACACATATATATATGTCCATGATGTTGTTTCATGACTAATATGTACGGAACGAGAATTTTGCCACGCTCGGCCTAATCCGATTGAAATCTATTTGATTAGATGAGACTTAAAACCAAGAATTTGTACGTAGAAATAGTACATGTCACTGGCCCCACGATTTTGTCATTTCTTGGTTTATAATAACATCGTTTGTGTTAATATTATATATTTTTTGAGTTCTCTTTTCTTTTGATGATCTTACTCAAATACATTATTTAATGTGTATTGTTTATGACTGCTTTGTCACTTATTCATCCTGGTGACCCAGGAGACGAAAGCAAATTAAAGAGTAGAAAGCTAAGAAGGTTGTTTAAAAATAACGTCTGAGAATTGCAATTCCGAATTGATAAATTCTCAAAGAAATCCAATACACCCGAAAGAAAAGAGATTCTCGTGAATGAAGAATCTGCTTGCCACCTCAGACTACTTAATTCACGCCACGTCAGTCTTTTAGTCAACACGAGTTCTCTTTTTTTTTTTCTTCTTAAAGTAAGTATCTATTTCAAATAAATATTAATTGTTTTGATATAGTCTAGTTAAATAATTAAAGTTTAAATTAAAAAAAAATAAACTAATAATAAAATGATAACATGCATTAGTGTTGGAGCTGGATTTGACATCCTAAATCTGGCCAACTTAAGCCCAACGGGCAGATCTGAACTAAGCCAAAAGACTGGGTTTTGATCTTACGGCCTAGGCTCATTCATCTTTCAACAACCCGATTTTGAGCAACAAGACATTCCGTTCGACGAGGTCGAGCTCCAGCTCGACCAAATCCCGAAAAACGAGGAATAATCCGAGCCAAGTTAGAGCATATTCTCGCCAGTTCGAACGAGTCCGAAGATCGTGGAGGAAGTTGCTGCACATGGCGAAATATCCGGCTAAGGCTGCTGCACTTGGCCGAGATACGCGCTGGGGCTCGAAGCTCGACGAGGCAAGCTATATAAAGAAGGAGAACGGCTTAGTTCAAGGGGGCCCCGGCTTGATCTTTTTACATACTTTTTACATCCGAAAACACTGTAACTGCTCCCAGCTCTTTTTAAATTCATCTTCTTCGTCTAAATCCTTGTAACCGTTTCATTCGACCGATTAATATTAAAGTCCTTATTCCAGTTAGTGCTAGCTTATACAGTCAATTTGTTCGAGGGAATTTAGCCCTTAATCTTCTAAAGTTTTTTTCTTATAAAAACACATAAATTTTTTAGCGTGGATTTATGCATCCACAATTAGAGTATTTCAATTTTTTTGGTTGGAGTTCTCATATGAGATATTCATCTCTCTATTTTCTTTTCTGAATTTTTTTTTTATTATTTTAAAAATGAGATACCTTTTTAGAGATGATTTCAAACTCAGTCCACTTTGAGATGATTGGTCGAAAGGAGGGCAAAAGACTTTCTAGTTCACATATACTCAGGGACGTTGGATTAAAAAGCAGTCATCTAAACCGTTAGATTTTAAAAAAACATTCTCCCCTAATAAAATTATGCTGATGTAAGCAGTCCCGAAAACCAGAATCCTATATTATTATGAATGACACAAAGTTAAAAAAACCCTAATTTATCTGTTCTGTCTTGTCGCTTTATTCCTTTGGAGGAGATGAGACGAGAAATCAAAAGAGAAACAATGAAGTTTACCGATCTCCCACGTGAATTGGAATTGGAAATAATTTCTTGGGTTCCGGCCACATCTCTCTACCAATTGCGATTTACTTGCAGACGATGGTGATCAAGGATAACTCAGGGAAAGCAGCGACGCAGGTGATCTTAAAGAAAGATTTTCGTGCTCATTCGGTTAGCATCAATCTCCATGGAACCCACAACAGCTTTGATCCATCCATTGAGTTTGGAGGTACACTTAAAAGTCGAAAAGATTCAGAACAGGTCGCAATATATGATATCTTTCACTGCGACGGTTTATTACTGTGCCACACCAAGGACGGTAGACTCGTGGTTTGGAACCCTTGTACAGGTCAAACCAAGTGGATCCAAACCACAAAAACCTATGACTGTGTTCTAGGATACGAAAACAATGACAAATCTTTCGCTAGCTACAAAATATTGAAGCGTAGGTATAAATATAATCACAAAGACAGGGTTGCTGAGTTTGAAATCTATGATTTTAACTCCGATTCATGGAGGGTTCTTGATGATGTCGATCAGAACTTGACGATAATAAGTCGTGGAGTGTCTTTGAAGGGAAATACTTACTGGGTTGCACTGGTAGGAAAAAACACCAGATTCTTACTCAGGTTTGATTTCGAAAGAGAGAGATTTGAACGTCTTTCTCTTCCGTTTCAATGTCGTCATCCTTCCGATGGGATTTTCTCTCTCTGATCAGTTGGTAGAGAAGAGAAACTTTACCTGTTACTTCAGAGGCTTAAGAAAGATTCATTAGAGATGAAGATATGGGTGACCGATACTAAGATGGATGAATCCAAAGATATCCAATACTCCTTAGTCGGGGATTTTGGTAATATTATGATAACTTGTATTTCGAATGTGGACAGTTTCTTGGTGGACGAGGAGAATAAAAGGGTCGTGTATTGTTGTCGAGACGAGAAATTTAGAGAGAAGACCCTAATTTACAAGTTATGGGTGAATCCAAAGCCATCCAATACTCCTTAGTCATGGATTTTGGTAAAATTATGATAACTGGTATGGCGACTGTGTGGAGTTTCTTGGTGGACGAGGAGAATAAAAGGGTCGTGTGCTGTCATACATACAAGGAAAAAAATATAGTGAGGACCAGAATTTCCATTGTTGGAGGAGACCATAAGATATAGGTATGTAAACAAGCTCATGGAGAGATTGCACAAGGACCATATAGTTCTGATGTTCTGCCACTTCTCGTCAGCTATGTTCCAAGTTTGGTTCAAATTCAGGAAAGTGGAGGCAAATGTTAAAAGTGATTCCTCCATTTAAGTTGTATAGTTTCATTGAACGAAATTTGTCAACTAATTTAATTGTGGTTGTTTTTGGAGAATCTTGCAAAATTGATCCATAAATTCAAGTCAATTGCTAAACTAACTTCCCATTTTACCACTTTTGAAATTAACCACTTTATCTCACTTATATCCTTATCAGTTCTATTTATTTACGAAAATGCCATTAGATTATTGTTTTTTATTATTATTTCGAAAATCTATTTTACCAAACAATCTTCATCTTCCTCACTTATTCACGAAAATGCCATCACCATCAATTCATTCAACCACCATTTTCAACCAATTTGAAGTTTTTATTGCTTCAAAGACCCATTTTTTTAGCTTTGTAACCTCATTTCCTTTTCTCTTAATCTTCTACTCTTTTATTTTTTCACCATTTTCAGCACAAAAACTCTATAATCTAAATTTTTAAAACTTGATGTTTTAATATATTGCCATATTTGGTGATTTGGTCTGGCAAATCGTTTGGGCTTGTTTGGTGGTGGCTGGAATCAAAGAAATCGGTGGTTGAATAAGTTAAATACCACTGGTAGGTGATTTTTCAGTCAATTTTCGTGAGTTTTCAGATCTGTGCCGCGAAAGTAGACTTCTTAAGAAGTCTACTGTCGGTAGTAGACTTCAAAAGAAGTCTGCTGGTCAACACACATGTTAGTTTTGCAATTGACCGGGTGTACCAATTTCTGACAGTAGACTTCAGTTGAAATCTGCGCCATTTCCTTTGACAAAAAAAAAATAGTGTAAACTTCAAAAGAAGTCTACGTAAAAAGAGGTTAGTTTTGCAATTGACCAACGTTTGACTTTTTCGTAAGAAGTCTACTCGCAAAAGTAGACTTCTTCGGAGAAGTCTACTTTGAAAGTAGACTTCTTAGAGGTTAGTTTTGCAATTAACCAATGTTGACTTTTTCGAGTAGACTTCGCTTGAAGTCTACTTTTCCGAGTAGACTTCGTTTGAAGTCTACTTTCTGAGTAGACTTCAAAAAAAGTCTACTCGAAAATAAATTCAATATTTGGTCAACCCCAAGACTTCAAACGAAGTCTACTTTGAAAAGTCAACATTGGTCAATTGCAAAACTAACCTCTAAGAAGTTTACTTTAAAAGTAGACTTCTCCGAAGAAGTCTACTTTTGCAAGTAGACTTCTTACGAAAAAGTCAAAGTTTGGTCAATTGCAAAACTAACCTTTTTTACGTAGACTTCTCTAGTAGACTTCTCGGAGTGAGTAGACTTCTTTGAAGAAGTCTACTCATCTTTGGGCAATTGCAAAAGTAACCTAAAATATAGACTTCATACGAAGTCTACATTTGTAGACTTCATTGCAAGTCTACTTTTGTAAACTTCGTTGTTAGTCTACTATTTCACTTTTTTTTTATAAACGTGTTTTTTATCAAATTTACAACGAATTATTAAGATTTTTTTTGGTTTTACGATTGTTTTAGTAAGTGTACTTACATTTGTATCAGTTTTACATGTTTATATTATATATATTTGGTGAAATCAAGTTTCTTGTTTTATTTGATATTTAGCTTATTAGTCCGTAGACTTCGTTTGCAGTCTGCGATATTAATTTTTTTTTTAAATTAGTTGATCAGATATTTGTAACAAATAAAATTTATTCTTTGACTCTTAAGTGTGTATTATTTATTGTTCTTACTTATGTAGGAGTTTGACATGTTTATTTGTTATAGTTTAGCTTTAATTAATTTTCTTGTTCTAATTGGTATTTAACTTATTAGTCCGTAGACTTCACTTGAAGTCTACATAGTAGACTTCGTTTGCAGTCTGCGACATTGATTTTTTATAAATTTAATTGATCAGATATTTGTAACAAATAAAATTTATTATTTGACTCTTAAGTGTGTGATATTTATTGTTCTTGCTTATGTATGAGTTTGAATTTTTTTTTGTTACAGTTTAGCTTTAACTAATTTTCTTCTTTTATTTGGTATTTAGCTTAATAGTCCGCAGACTTCATTTGAAGTCTACATAGTAGACTACGTTTGCAGTCTACTTTTTTGACAATAATTTCTAATGTGGTTTGAATTTTGTTTTCTTACAGAGAATGGTTCACATTCCCACTGTTTATTGAGAATGTGTGAAGAAAGACTAGTTGTGGTATTTCTAAGTAGTTTTACATATTTTTTTTTTGTTATGAGTTTTACATGTTTTTGTATAGTTAAATTGAATTAATTTTCTTGTGTTATTAGATGTTCAAAGATGGTGATGATTAAGTCTGACAAAGAAGTCTGCATATGAAATCTGAATATGATAAAACACACATAATTTAAGAATATATAAAAATAACATTAATTGCATTTCAACTTTACATATAAAGTAGACCTTCTAATCAAACAAACATTCAGGATCACTAATTATAAATCTTAAAATTAGCATATAAAAACAAAATGTCTGAAATAGATGTATGTGACTGAAGTCTGCTCGAGAAGTCTGCTCGAAAAGTTTACTCGAGAAATCTGCAGCTGAAGTCTTCTTCCAACAAAAACAAAAGAGAAATAAATAAGCTCAGGTCTGCACAATAAGAAAAAAAAATGTTAAAATTCATATTTCAACAAAATCTGCTATATTTACAAACATCATATCTGCAGCAAAAAGAAAAAAAAAGAAATCAGCTATGCAACAAAAAAAATTATAGATCTGCAACAAAATAAACAAAATTCAGATCTGCAACAAAATAAATAAAATCAGATCTGCAACAACTAAAAATTCAGATCTACAAAAAAAAAACCAGATCTGCGACAACAAAAAATCAGATCTGCGACAACAAAAAAATCAGATCTGCAACAAATTCTACAAAATTTATACCATAAAAAGCGCATATTTGCAAGAATAAACTCATATCTACAACAAGAAGCTCAAATGTGTAATAATAAACCCAGATTTACAATATGAACACAAAACAAACAACAAAAGAAACACAAAACCTCAGATTTGCTTACCACCACCATAATTGAGATAGAGAGGATGGATGATAGAGATGGGTTTGATGGCAAGAGAGGAAGGAGAAGAGATTCATGGCCAGAGAGGAGGTAGAGGAGAGAGAGGCGTTTTTTAGAGGGAGAGAAAAACTTTATTTTTAATCCAATTAGGTTAATCTCCTTATATATGTAGGAAAAATTTCGGTTAAGTAGACTTCTTAAGAAGTCTACTCGAAAAATCTACTTCGGTATATCTTTTCAATTTCGATTCCCGCCTAATTTGTTCCGATTCCCGTCCAATTTGTTAAATAATTTTGATTTCCCGCTATGTTTTTTTTAAGTCTACTGGAGAAGTCTACCCGAGAAGTCTACCTGAGAAGTCTACTGCATACATATGTTTTCTGTAGTAGACTTCTTTAGTAGACTTCTAAAGGGTTGTATGTTTTCTAGTTATTTTTCTTTCTGTATTTAAGTTGATTCATTTGTATGAAATTTTGTATTTAATACATGTCAAATATATATGTCTTACTTATGTTTACCAATTTTTTAGAGATATATTTATTTTATATTTTCTAATTAATTTTAAAAATAATAATTATGTAGTAGACTTCTTTTGAAGTCTACATACAAACGATTGTAGACTTCTTACGTAGACTTCTCGAAAGATAAAATCGTAACTGTGGCAGACGTTTTTTGTTTAGTCACAAAGGACTGAGCTGTAATTTTACTACCACTTTGGGTTAGTTTTGCCAAACATTCAATAAGGGGTTTACATATTGAGAAAAAATCAACTTTTAGGTTATAAAGAAAAATTCCCCCTTGTTTTTGTTCAGTTAATATTATACTTTTGAAATCAGATTTTGGTGATCTTACTCAAATACATTAGTTGTTTGTTGTTTATGACTTTAAAAATATTAGGGATGTTTCCGCGCTACGCGCGGATTGTTTTTATAAATATTTGATTATTATTTAAAGTAAATCATTATAAAATTAAATTGATATTTTAAATATAATATTTGATTTTCAGTATTTTTGACGTGGTAATATATCAAAATGTTTTTAACCTATTTAAAAAATGTATTATGATTTAATTTAAAAATTTACTGACTTGATATATGTGAAAATTAACTGTTAATTTAAAACTTAATATTTCTATATAAACTCGTACAACAACTTTCAAAATATTATTAAAATTAATCTTGTTTTAACTAAATTTGATATATAATTGAATTCAACAACTATAAATTTTCTCTTTATTTAATTTAAAACATTTTTACATTTTTACATTTTAAATAAAAAGAAAATAGCTTATCAAACATATGACTACAACTGAAGCACCTGATTATTGTTCCAACTAATTTGGATTTTTTTTTCATTTCAATTATGTATGTGTAATTTTATTTTTCATTATCAGTCTCAGATACAAAACAACAGTCAATATTTAAAACTCTTACAAATCCTTAAAAGAACTATTGTTCATATAAATGAAAAAAATTTACATATTATACAAAATCATAATCATATTGATAAACTATAATTTTGATTTAATCCTTGAAGCATCTGTAAACTATATAATTTGTAGATAAATAAAGCAAATAATACATATACAAATACAACTTTATACTAACTCATTCTATTAAACAAAGTATGTCGAGTTTCTCAAAACTCAAAAGGTGTAAAAGATTCATTTTCATCTGGCTTGTAATTTAACTTATATATTTTTCTTACACCACACATATATTTTGATGAGTCTTTATAATTAAATTAATAATATATATCATATAATATTTAATAGAGTTTCTAAACCCAAAAATAAAATCATATTAGTTTTTCTTACATGTTCAGTTTGTAAAGAATTTCTTTTTTGTTGATGTTGATGGTTAATGATGTTTTTATGATATTTTCTTTTACATAAAAATGTATATACCATTTTCAAATATAGGAATATAATATATTAATGTTTAAAATAGAATTATGCTAGTATATTTTTCTGTAAATGTATTGCGTATATTTTTTTGTAATAAGTAATGTATTAACAAAATCTTATAATTTTATCTTTGTAGAAACAACAGATAATTTTGTGTCGACATATATAAAATACAGTTGTGTTAATTTCAAAAAAAATATTATTTATTTGCTATGTATTTACTTTGTATGTTTGTAAAAGACGAATGTTTTAGATTTTTTAAAATTTTGAATGTTTTCAATTTTTTTTAAAAAATTACTATTTTGTAACTTCATATCTCATAATATTATATTTTATCAATTTTTAGTTTAAATGTGTGATTATTATTAATTTGAGCTGTATGAATTTATAATATTAAACATATAACTAATTTTTATTTTTGTTAAAATTAGGTTATATGTCATATATTTTTTGTTACTACAGTATATATAATTTAATCAATATTCAAGTATTACTATTATTGTTGATTAAATACTATTTAATTTTAAGCATGTTATAAACATATTAAAGATTTTTTTTAATTAAAAGTCTGATATGGTATGATTATAGAGAAATGCTTTTTGCTGATGTGGATAGTTTGAGGAGCCTCAAACTTCTCTTTTCATTTAGTATAGATACAACAACCAAAACGAAGAGACAAAAACAATAGAGTAGAAAAGCTAAGAAGGGTGGCAAAATGTCATCACATAAGCAACCTTTTTAGTTAATGTAACTATTTGGCTGCAACACAACACAAACATCTCTCTCTCTATATATATATATATAAATGTGAACAATTGGAGCCAATGGATGAGACTCTACGTAGTTGCCTAGGGTCCAATGGAAAACAAACTTATTTAGTTCCCCCACCTAAGAAATTTATGGATCAAAATTTTGATACTATGATTATATGTGTTACATGAAATTATGAATCTACTAGAATGCAAAGAAAAAAACATTTAAAATCTTTATATCTAATTTGAAAACTGCTAAATTATACACATGTCTAAAGCTTTCAAGAACTGCTTTTGGAAACCTCTGCTTCATCAGAATGTGGTTGTGTAGGAGATGATGCTGGTGGTGGAATAGGAGCTGGTGTAGGAAGTGAATCTGAAGCCCTAGGACTTGATGATGAAACATGATGACTATATCTTTTAAGCAACCTATCTTTTTTACTATTCCACCATTCTTCTGCCTGATGCTCATCAAATCTCCGTTTACTGCAAAGAATTCAAATGAATTACACAATCTTAAAATAGAGAAGAGATCAAAAATTTGATGAAGAAACAAAAACAAAAATACCTGAATCTAACTCTTCTAAAGATCTTTCCGCCGTTTTTGTGCAATACGTAAGTAACATAAACACCAGGTTCAAATTGTTCGATAAGCTCCTTGCCTCCTGATTTTGATGGTGATGATGAAGCTTCTGTTGGTGGCCTTGAATCTGACGGTTGAGAAGTTGCATCTGTTATGTTTGAAGATTCTTGAGACATCGTGGTAGCTCCATTAGATGATGATTGTAGCTCTAGTTTTTGCTCTTGTGTGTTTGCAGAAAGGGTTGTATCTTGTTGAACCATACCCAATGTTGTAGGTAAAGATGTTTCAGATGCTTCACTCGCATTTAGATAGGCTTCGGCTTGAGAGTTCATTGATTCAAAAGCTTCACATCTAGATACTTCAGGGGGTAGTTTCTCCTTTAACTCTCTCAACTAAAAAATGGAAGAATGATATATTAAAAAACTGACTCGTCTTAGTTGAGACTTACTAATTTTTTGAGCATGTTTTATGATCCATATAATAAGTAAGTAGCTTACATGTTCAGCGACAGATTTCATGACTTCTGTTGCTGCCTTATGCTTTGAAGAATGCTTTACAGCTAATTCAGAAGCCTCTCTTGCTGTTTTCTTTAGTCTTTGGATCTCTGTACCTTGATGATCACACTTCTGTTTCAGACTCCTAACCTGAAAGTGGACAAGTTGTTTATTCATCAATGTGTTAGATTCATTTTAAGGTTTGATAAACTGAGAATTGTTTTAGATATTATATAAACCTGGCTCTGCAGTTTTGTCATTTCATGGTTTATAACACCGTTTGTCTTCTTCAAACTATCAACCACGCTTCTCGAAAATCCAGAGCTGCGTGGGGGGCTCGGTCTTCTTGATGTTCTTGTACTTGAGGACAATGAGGAAGAGGGTCTAAATGCATTCTGAATCGCGCTAAGCGAGCTCGGAAATGCGACATCTTTAAGTTGCTGAAGAGCTGGGACTTGTGAGGCTCTTACAATAGAAGATTCAGATCTTGATGACCTAACCTCAGAGTACTTGACCGGTTCAGTTTTGGGGGACAACAAAATTCTCGACGACCTTGTTTCTCTGTCTGGTCTTACCAAGCCATCTAGTGACCTTGTAGGAGTCGAGGCGTTTCTATTAGCAACACTGGAGTTATAAACATAGTCTCCAGCTTTAAGCTTTGTGTAACAAGCATCACATACACGATGTGGCTTCCCTGGAGTTGGAGCTAATGCAGCCTTCAAAGCTTTCTTGGAGCTACAAGCATGACAATGTACTAAACCGCAGTTGTAACAATTATGTCTCTTTCTTGTAAAACCAAATGCTTGACGACAACCAGAGCAAACTGATTGATCAGCTCCTGAGACCCATTTATGGATGCATATGCTTGATGAAAAGTTAGAGCCACATGATATGCTCTTCACATGCCTCTCTCTTAGAGCTTCAACTAATGTTGGCGTTTTTCGATCTTCCATGTCACCATGTCCTAATCTTCCATTAGCACCTTTTCCCCAAGTTAATACTTCACTTCTTGACGTTAATACAGCCACATGATGATCTCCACAAGCGATTTCTTCAACGAACTCACCAACCAATCGATCTTGAACCAAACAAGGCAACTTACCATCAGAACTCGAGCTACCGAGCTGACCATGTGAAGTCCCTCCCATTGTGAAAACATGTCCTGAGGTCGTGAGCGCAACTGTCAATGTATGACCGCAAGCTATTTTGTGGAAGTTGTAGTCAATTAGTGAAGAGACACACGTGGGAAGCAAGTAAGTCTCTTTGTTCCCATGCCCTAACCTATTTTTATCACCATCACCCCAAGTGAACAATTTTCTTGATGACGTACTCGTACCGGTCTGATTCATGACCTCGACTATAGCCACGGTATGCCACACGCCGCAAGCTACTTTCATGGTTTTAAGGCCACCCAACATTTTCACTTCTTTAGGGTATGAAACACTTTCTCTATCTCCATGTCCAAGAACACCAAAAGCTCCATCACCAAAAGTGAATAACTTCCCATTAGCAGTCGCAAGCGCGGAATGCCACGTGCCACACGCGACAGACAAGACCTGAAGTCCTTCAACAGGACCAGAGACTCTTTTTGGTATCCAATGGCTAAGATCACTACCATGTCCCAATAGTCCAACATTGTGGATCCCATCTCCCCATGTAAACAAATCTCCAGAGGTAGAAACAGCACAAGTATGATACTCTCCACAAGCAACAAAATCTACATTGGTAAGAGCAAGAAACTCAACAAGTTTTGGACGACTAACATCTACTTGAATACCATGTCCAAGCCTTCCCCCAGCTTCTTCTCCCCATGTAAACACTTCACCTTGTCTTGTCACAAGAGCAATGTGCCTTACGCCGCAAGCAATCTGATGAACATCAAGAACAACGTCTGATTCCAAGGGTCTTGGAATCAACACATCTGTTTTGACGGTTTTAGAGTTTACGGTACCATCATGTGATATCCCGTCGCTCCAAACTTCTCCCCAGACATAAACATCGCCTAATGATTCTATGTCATCAGGACCAGACCCTCCACTTGAACAACTTGGTGTGCTTGAGACACTAATCCGAAAACCATCAGTACTTGGTCTTAGCATGTTTCCACGTTCTGAAACCACATCTGACTCTCTGAAGTGGAATGGAGAGTTACTATGGATTCCTAAATCAATGGACGTTCTTCCTCTTCGAGTATTATTTGGTATAAAATCTATTGATGCAGTAGAAGGACGACCAGTGGAGAAAATATCACTGTCATGTATCTGAAAATGAGTTAAAGTCGCATATCAGAGATATGTAGAAGATAAACTATAGAAATATAAATTCACATACACACACCTCGGGGATCTCACTTCTTGCGTGCTTATTACGGTTTTTGTTAATTAATGACTTGAGTCCTGAAAACCAAACCTCTGTCTCAGCTTTGTCCTTGCAAATCTGTCGAGCGTAAACATGAAGTCGTGATAATAAGTTTGTAAAAGTTTAAAATAAAAGAAAATTAATACGTCATGGTTTTACTAACCAGATCAAGAGATCTATCTCCGTTGTGATAAATAAGAGAAAAGGACAAGTAATCTTTTTCCGGACGTAAATATCTTCGAAAAACAGCCTAAGTATATATAATAAAACAAACAAAACTTTGTGAGTTCCATGAAAAATAATTTTCTTTCGAATGAATCAAGTAATATGTAGCTAAATCTTGTTCTACACTCACAGTTCTTTGTCCAGGGAGAATTCGTGAAACGGTAGATAACTTCAAATTTTTTTCTTCTCCGTGTGAGAGCCAAACCAATGTTGTTTCATCCTATCATCACCAACAAAAAAAACGTTGAGCATATATATATATATATATATAGCATAATTCTTGAAACATAGATACACTTATATATATGAAATAAGTAGAAATACCGGCGTAAGCCTGAAAGAGCGAAATTTAGGTCTCCCTTTCCGGCTATACTTAAGTAATTGACAACCTTTTTTCAAAGCAATGAGTGCCTACAAGACAAAACATATGGCACAAATTTAGAAAATAAAACATTGGTCATACGAAGCTTTGGCATCTAAAGTTCAAGAAAACAAGAAAAACTACTTGGTCGATCAAGAAAATCATTTAAAAGATTACTACATAGAAGATCAAGAAAATCATTCAAAAGAAGAATTTGAAAAGAAGAAGAAAAAAAAACATAGAGATTAGAAAGATGGAGAGAACAAACTTGGTCGATGTCACGCTCGTGATTGACATAGCTAGAAGGATCTGCCATTCCATCTGAGAAAAGCCGAGGAGAATGATATAAGATAATTAAGAAGCATCAGCTGATCTGTCTTCATAGATGCATCCGTCTTCAATTCCTTCTCCTACTTGATCCGTTACTATGTTCATTCAATCCTTACTTTTTGGAATTTAAACACGTAGAAGTAATAACTAAACAATAAATTATATTTCTTTCTGAAACCGATTAGAAAGAATGATTACTTGATGAAAGATTAGGTTGAATGTCAATAATGATCCTAAAAATTAGGAGAGTGGTTTAAAATAAAAAAGAGAGGACAGTTTCTATGGGAAGGTCGACATTTTAGGAGTGTTTGAATCTCCCATGCAAATAACCTCAGACTTTTAGCAAAAACTAACCTCAGACTTTAGCGCACTTCTCCTTCTCCTTCCACATTTCACTCTCAGCTTAATTCCCTTATTATCACTTTTTATATGATTAGCATTTTGTGTATCCGTTTTCTTTTTTTTTGCATATAAATTCAACATGCAAAAAATTATACTTGCAAGCACATACTATTTATAGTACACCAGTCACCAGTTATATATAACAATTTTGCAAGCAGGATACAAAACCCGTGGTGACACAAGATCAGGGGTGAATAATCTTATATGTGGACTGATGGAACCGTCTGATGGTTGTATAACTCGCTCAGATCGGTCAGTTGATGAATGATGAATAGATATGGACGTGTATGGGATCAGAGAATGGTTGTGCAACTCTTTTTTTCTGACCGGTGATCAAGACCTTATGAATATAAGCTTTGATAAGACAAGAACAAACTCTCAAACAACGAATCTCTCAAGTGTTTATGAATTTGCAAAGTATTTTCTCTAAAAAAACTCAGTTTATTTTATTAATCAAAGGTAAAGAATACAATGCTGAGAGGGGACTTTATAAATAGTTCAAACAGCTGTTGCCCTTCTTGGGGTCTTTGAAGCAAATTATAATGATGAAAACACAAATGATTGAAATCAAAATGATGATAATTGGCGAAACAAATGTCTTTGACTACTAATGTAAATTAAGAAAATCATCACTTAAACACAAAAGCAATCTCGTTTTATTAGTAAATACCCGAAGGAAAAAAACCAAATAAATTAAAATCATACCTTAGCTTTGATCTTGGTTTGGCCTGTTTGAATAGGATGCTGCATTTTAGCCTTTAGATGATGTGTTTAGATAAGTGGCGAGATGCTGAATAAGGAAACTTCTTTCCTTCCTTGTATGATCAGCCATTCTTTGATATATTGTATGGTTTTGATGTTTGGACCGTCATATGTTTGTATAGCTTCATCTTGGTGCGGTTCTTGAGTTTGAATAAAGTTGTGTTCTTCAAGTTCTAGCCTTGCTTGAGACGCTTTCTTAGATATTCTCAGTTGATCAAGTTGAGAAGTAATGTCTTCAAGCTCTTTATAGGTGATGAGTGTTTCCACAGCTTGGTTAAACCCTTCATATAATTCTCTAGCTCCTAATCTTTTCATCGGTGTATGTCTCATTATAGGAATGGGGGTACTTGTTTTGTTGCTAGTTTCTGATATTTTATCATCATCTCCTCCTTGTAAAGGTTTTGTCCTTAGAACTCCTTCTGCATCAAACGGTAAAAAATCAGAAACATTGAATGTGTTTGAAATGTTAAACTCACCTGGAAGTTCTATTTGATAGGCGTTGTCATTGATCTTCTTCAAGACTCTGAATGGGCCATCTCCTCTTGGTAAAAGCTTGGATTTTCTTTGAGTTGGAAACCTTTCTGTTCTCATGTGCAGCCAAACCCAATCGCCTTCTTTGAATATCATTTCTTTACGGCCCATATCAGCATTCTTCTTGTAATGTAAGTTCCTTTGCTCAATGTTTTCTTTGACCTTCTGAAACATCTTCTTCATCAGCTCGGCTTTTGTTACTCCATCCTGATTTATCTGTTCTTTCTCTGGTAAAGTTGTAAGATCTAAAGGACCTATAGGCCTTAATCCAAAACAATCTCAAACGGTGAGAGCTTAGTAGCCGAGTGTGAAACTCGGTTATATGCAAATTCAATGAAAGGTAAGCAATCAAGCCAATTTCTCAAATTTTTACCAACTGTGGCCCTTAAAAGGGTTGAGAGTGTATGGTTGACAACTTCTGTTTGGCCATCTGTTTGGGGGTGGAAAGTGGTGGAAAATAGAAGCTTTGTTCCCAGCTTTCTCCATAATGTCCTCTAGAAATGGCTTAAGAACTTCGTATCTCTATCTGAAACAATGGTCCTTGGCAGCCCATGAATTCTCACCACTTCTTTAAAGAAAAGATCAGCAACTTGTGTAGCATCATTAGTCTTGGCACAAGGAATGAAATGCGCCATTTTTGAAATCTTATCCACTACTACAAAGATTGAATCCTTGTTTCTGATCTTTGGTAAGCCTAAAACAAAGTCCATATAAATGTCTACCTATGGTAGGTCAGGAATAGGTAAAGGAATATATAAGCCATGAGGATGTAACATGGATTTTGCCTTAAGGCAAATGATGCATTTAGAACAGAACCGTTCTACATCACGCTTGAGATGGGGCGAGTAGAAGTCTTCAGTGACAACACTTAGTGTTTATCAACTCCAAAATGGCCCATGAGCTCTCCTCCATGTGCTTCTCTCATGATCAGTTCCCGCATTGAACTTTGGGGAATGCATAGCCTCTTGTCTCTGAATAAGAAATCCTCATGTTGGTAGAATTAACCGGCTGCTCCTTTGCTGCTTAGTTGATATAACTCGCCAAAATCAGGGTCATCTTTGTATAAGTCTTTAAGATGTTCAAACCCCATGATTTTTGCTTCCATTGTAGCGATTAGAGCATGTCTTCTAGATAGTACATTAGCTACAGTGTTCTCTTTTCCCTTCTTGTACTTGATGATATATGGAAATGTTTCCAAAAATTTGAGCCATCTAGCGTGCCTTTTCTTTAGTGTGGTTTAGCCTCTTAAATACTTTAGAGTTTCATGATCTGTATGAATAACAAAACTCTTTAGATAAAAGATAATGTTGCCAAGTTTCCAGTGATCTTACCAGGGCATATAACTCTGTCATAAGTTGGATAGTTAAGAGCAGATCCTTTGAGTTTTTCACTGAAATAAGCTACTGGTTTTCCTCCTTGTGTAAGTACAGCGCCAATTCCTGTTCCTGAAGCATCACATTCAACCCTAAAAGTTTTGTTAAAGTTAGGTAAAACTAAAACAGGAGAGTGTGTAAGGCTGTTTTTAAGCTTCTGGAAAGCTTTCTCTTGTTCTTCTCCCCATGAGAATGCTACATTCTTCTTAATCATTGATGTCATAGGGGCGGCAATGGTGCTAAAATCCTTGACAAATCTTCTGTAAAAGTTGGCTAAACCATGAAAGCTTCTGATATGTCCAATGGTCGTGGGGGTAGGCCATTCTTGTATCGCCTTTATCTTCTCTTCATCTACTTTAAGCCCCTGTGAACTTACAACAAAACCTAAAAACACTACTTGATCAGTGCAAAATGTACATTTCTTTAGGTTTGCATATAATCCTTCTAGCCTTAACGCTTCTAATACTTTCTCAAGATACTCAATATGATCAGTTAAGTTTGAGCTATATATCAAAATATCATTGAAATATACCACTACAAACTTACAGATATACTCTCGTAGCACATGATTCATGAGCCACATGAAAGTACTAGGGGCGTTGGTGAGTCCAAATGGCATGACTAGCCACTCATATAGACCCCTATTGGTCTTGAAAGCAGTTTTCCACTCGTCGCCCTCCTTCATTCTTACTTGATGGTACCCACTTTTCAAATCAATCTTGGAAAATATGGTGGTGCCACTTAACTCATCGAGCATGTCATCTAGCCGTGGTATAGGATGGCGGTATTTGACCGTGATGTTGTTGATCGCCCTACAATCTACGCACATTCTCCATGTACCGTCATTCTTAGGCACTAATAAGACCGGGACAGCGCAAGGACTTAGACTTTCTCGGATATATCCTTTTGACATAAGCTCTTGAACTTGCTTCTCTAACTCCTTTGCTTCTTCGGGGTTAACTCGGTAAGCTGGCTTGTTGGGTAGTGGATCTCCTGGAATGAGGTCTATTTGATGTTCTATTCCTCTAATGGGAGGTAATCCTTCTGGTATATCCTCGGGAAAGACATCTTTGAATCCTTCTAACAGCTTAGATATCTCAATGGGTAGCTCTTTTTCCTCTTGTCCTGAAAATAAACTTTCTCCGTGAGTTGAGCAGCTGCTAAGGAGACCTTCTTGCTGTCATTGTAATGGTAATACTCGAATATGTATTCCATTCTTCTTTCCCAATCAATGTAAGCCTCCGGGTTGACTCTTCCAGCAAACGTTGGAGCTTTGAGTTTGAGATCTTTGCCTCCAAACCATGGTTGCTCTTCTTCTCGCTCTCTTCCTCCTCTGTTTCTATCTCTGTTCCTCCGGGGTCTAGGATCTTGGTTATCCTCTTCAAGACTTGGCATGTCACTATCACTTTCGCTCTCTTCTTGAGATTGAGATGTTCTTTCTTGGTTTCCACGGCCATTTGGTGCTGCTGGGCTGGTGGGGGTGCTCATTGCTCTAGCCGAGTCATACGTTCACTAATGCTTTGTATAGAAGCCAACATCTGGTGCATCATTTCTTCTTGATTGACCTCTCCCATGCCTTAATACATGTGTATTCAAAAGACAAATGTTTGAATATGCTCTTTTAAGAAATACACGAACTACACAAGATATAGTCAAAGGAAATCTAACAATCAAATGCCAAAACTCGATGTAATGACAGGAATGACAATTAGTTTTCTCGCTAAATATGGGAATAGTTATAACACGGTATGTAATGCACGGATAGGAATTATGGAAATGAAAATAACGTGTGAGTAAATATGGTAAGGAAAAACTCGGGTAAATAGAATGCAAAACAACTTTCTTTTAGGTTTTTGGTTTATAAGAAAAATATGTAATGAAAGAAATCTTTAATTTGTTTTGGGGTTTTATAAAATATATGAAACTAAAACACAGAAATGATGAAAACTCGTTTTTATATATATTTTTTGAATGATGGAATAAAATGCAAACAAGAACACAAAAGGAAAACGATGAATAATGTAAACAAGGATAGGATACATCTAATTAGAAGCCTTTCAGCCCTGATACCAAATGACACAAGATCATGGGTGAATAATCTTGTATGTGGACTGATGGAACCGTCTGATGGTTGTATAACTCGTTCAGGTCGGTTAGTGGGTGAATGATGAATAGATATGGACGTGTATGGGATCAGAGAATGGTTGTGAAACTCTTTTCTTCTGACTGGTGAATGAGATGAATGATTTAGTAACAAGTATGGATCGAAACCGCCACAAGACCTTATGGATATAAGCCTTGATAAGACAAGAACAAACTCTCAAACAATGAATCTCTCAAGTGTTTATGAATTTGCAAAGTATTTTCTCTAAGAAAACTCGGTTTATTTTATTAATCAAAGGTAAATAATACAATGTTGTGAGAGGAGATTTTATAAACAGTCCAAACAGTTGTTGCCCTTCTTGGGATCTTTGAAGCAATTTACATTGATGAAAACACAAATGATTGGAATCAAAATGATGATAATTGGCAAAACAAATGCCTTTGACTACTAACGTAAATTAAAAGAATCATCACTTAAACATAAAAAAAATCTCATTTTATTAGTAAATACCTGAAAGAAAGAAACCAAATAAATTAAAATCATAAATTAAAATCATACCTAAACCAAATAAATATACCAAGGATGCTGCGTTTTAGCCTTTAGATAATGTGTTTAGATAAGTGGCGAGATGCTGAATAAAGAACTTTCTTTCCTTCCTTGTATGATCGGCCATTCTTGATATATTGTATGATTTTGATGTTTGGACCGTCATATGTTTGTATAGCTTCATCTTGACGCGGTTTTTGAGTTTGAATAAAGCCGTGTTCTTCAAGTTCTAGCATTTCTTAAGACGCTTCCTTAAATATGCTCAGTTGATCAAATTGAGAAGTAATCTTTTCAAACTCTTTGTTGGTGATGAGTGTTTCCACAACTTGGTTAAACCCTTCATATAATTCTCTAGCTCCTGATCTTGTCCTTGGTGTATGCCTCATTATAGGAATGGGGGTACTTGTTTCGTTGCTGGTTTCTGATGTTGTATCACGTGGACTCTCTTGTGTTGCACGCCAATTGCTAGGTTTCATGACAGACATATGTGAGCGACTTAATGTATACGTAAACAATCAAACCAACCCTAAGAAACCAAGTTAAGAAAAAACTTTTGTAATCGATTTTGTGTTGAGATATATTACCGGACTGGATCGTACTTTGACACCAACTGATATATTCAAAACAAACAAAAATAGAGTGAAAAAGAACTAACAACTCATGACAAGCAATAAGATAAATGATTTGATCAGGGAATAAGGGATAAACCAAAGAAAAGTAATGATATTAAATTAATTAAGATTCACTGAAACAAGGTTATATATAGATTCACTAAAGTATTTTTACTGGAAACATCCGAGTTTTCTGAATATGTAAAGCCAGAATAAAGCAGATAATGTCAAAGACATGTTTTTAAAAAAGTTGGTTGGTATGAATAAGGAATATAAAGCTATGGTTATTTAGAAAAAAATGGAATGTGCAGATAATTGTATGGTTGATTGGTTGGTTGGTTGGTTTAAATAATAATTATTAGCTCAACAGTCCCATTCCAATAATTACATTTAGCAGTCTTTATCCAATAAAATTATGGGCCTTCCCTTGGTCCGTTGGTCGGATCTCTCACATGGTCGCTTCATGGAGCATAACCTAACATTTTCCATTTTTCTTTCCAGAGCTTCAAAACAACTCAGATTAGTTCCCAAAAGAAAGAAAAAAAATAAAAACACAACTCAGATTAATTGAAAAAAGGAAAAACAACTCAGATTCATACACCTTTATAGACACTGATATAACTGAAATTTTTATTTTCTGCCGAGATACATGGAAAACACTTTTCTTTATGTTCTTGAAAGCCATTAAATATACAAATATAGTTATTAGCACCTTCTTAAAATATAAATTTAATTTCAGAATATATATCTTTATGAAAATATTAACAGCCAGAAGATGTGCAAATATGCCCTTTTTTGCCATCCAGAGTAAGCTAAGAGAACCCACTTTTTGTTCCCTGCTTTTTAAAATTCACCCAAAAGCATGGCGTTTTAGTAATTTAATAGAAAATTAGGGGTTAGAACCAACATATAAACCAGTTCATGACAATAATACACATTTGGCCCAACACATCGCAAAAAAAAAAAAAAAAGAAGAAGAAAAGTCCTGAAATGGTTTCGTTGCGGCAACAGAAAAAGCAAAATCCAGCGAAACGGGCATGGAGAAGCTTCACAAACATGGTCAAATCCAAACTCAGAGACATCGAGATCGCTGCATCGGTCAGAGAATCAACGGCTCGTGTCATTAGGTTCCTCTCTCACCGTCTCATCGTTCCTTTCAGAACAAGGTACCTCGAAAATACTAGCTACACCGGCAGATACTACAGCCGCAATCAAACCTCTCGCCGGTTTCTCAGCTTCTTCTCTCGACCTCTCATCAAAAAAAAGCGGCGTAGCCATGAATACGATGATAGTTACTCTCAAATCCATCGATACCAAAGCCAATCACGTAGCGAGGGGACGAGTGAGAGTAAAGAGAAAGTTGTAGGGCGAAAAGAGGAGAAAGTAGAAGAAGAAGAGGGGATGCCGGAAATTGCTGACTCCATGGAAGATGCGTGGAGGAGAGTGGTGGCTGCGTCGCCTCATTTGAGGGTTAACGAGAGAGCCGATGAGTTTATCTACAAGTTTAGAGAAAGTATGAAGATGGAGAAGGAGAGATCGTTTCTTGAGTTCCAAGAAAGGTTAAAACGAAGTGCTTGATTCATGTGTTTGTCTTCTTCATGTTTCTTCTTCTCTTTTGATTGAAAAGATTGATTGAATTTTCTGAGGAACTTCGTTTTCTCATTCTTTCTTCTTTGTTAAAATTTGGATAATTTTAATTTCAAGTGTTAAAATCTTTTTTTTCTTCCTGATGTAAATGTGAATACATATCGCTTACCACTCTAAAATTGTATTTGTATGGGTTAAAAAGTCATTCTTGATTAATATTTAATGTATAAACATTTTTCTTCTTCTACATATTCACTTTTTTTTTCTCGTGAAACTTTATGTAATTGTTGGCAAAAGAGCTTTCTTCGTTTTGCTTATTAGAAAAGTAATACAAAGAGGCAAAAGGAGAAAGCACAACTATGTTGGACCCAGAAGAGCCAATTCTAATTTAAGCTTCCCTCACAAATAATGAATCATGATGATGATTGATGCATATGCCAACCAATTCCACTCTCACATCTCTAAAACTGCTTTTCTCTCATCCAGCAAATAAATTATGATCTATGGAGACTCATAGGACATAGCTTTAAATATTTGATGAAACTCAGAACGCAACTTCATATTAATTGATGATGATATAAACCTGCCACAGTAGTTCCTAGATTTACTTCATTTCTGTTCTGAGATGCTAAACGTTACAAGCTGATTTGTTTTTTACTGTTTCAGTCACCAAAACAGAAAAAAAAAAAAAAATGCCTTAGATGAGTGAACCAGGCACATACATACTCGTATCTGGATCATCTTCATCGTCATAATCTGGTTCTGTAGATGGTCTGCTTCTCTTTAACTCTCTTGCCACTGCTTGTCCTCTACCTTTCTTCGGTTTTCCCCTGTAATTGTACCACATTGGTCAAACCAAGACCATGTATCCAATACAGACATGTTATGTACGAAACGAGGTAACAAATAAGCATGGTCGAGAAACTAACTGTCCCGTGGACAATCCACCCTTTGATCTCCCTGGCCCCAATTCAGCTCGTCCATCTATAACATCACGAGATAAAAGTGTCTAAAGTCTAAACTGATCCATCATTGGGAAGAGTGAAGCCAGCGTAGTTGTTTTCAAGGCTTACCTTCTCTTCCGACACCAAGTTCTTCAGCCTGAACACATTATCACGTAAGATCAACATACCGGTCTAAGAAACTGCGATTAATTGTAAGCATCAATTTGAAAGAAAAGAAAAAACATATTTTCCACTATTTAAGGCAAAACAACTCCGACTAAAGAAGGCAGAGTGATAAACTAACAAATGAGAAGAACATAGGCATTTCAGAGTTCTCGAGCTCTTTCACATCACAGATTGTTCAGCTTTTAAGCTTGTTTGAATTTACTAGTGATGTTAAGTATGTAGTAATTGGCTATAACTTTAAGAGATTGAATCCTAAACCCAAACTATATATACAATAAAGCGATGTGGCAAACCAATTCTGAAAGGCAGACAAATTACAAAGAGCTCTGCATTTGTAAGCATCCACTTGAAATCAAAAACCTTTTCCACTACTTAAGGCAAACCAATTCTGACAAAAGAAAGCAGAGTGATAAAACTAACAAATGACAAGACCACATAGGCATTTCACAGTACTCGAGCTCTTTCACGTGGATTGTTCAGCCTTTACGCTTGTTTGAGTTTACCACGTAGTAGTAATTGACCATATCTTTAAGAGATTGAATCCTAAACCCAAACTATATATACTATAAAAAGGAATCTCAGTTCTTATAGCAGTGATTATATTGCTAACCAACACAAGAAAACAAGAGAATGTGATAAAGATTGTATAAAAAAAACATACAGCTGGTGATGTGACTGACGACAATGAGAAGACTCTGTCTTCAGGCTGAAACTTCCTTGATCTCTTGGCACTACAAAAATGGGTTTCATATCACACAGTAAACAAACTAAAACCTGAAGAAGTTATAAACAGTATCTTGAAAGCAAAAGCAATCAACTTGCAAATAAACAAATGCTACAGAACAGACTTTGAGGTCCAGACTGAGAATGAGAGAGAGAGACCTAGCAGCGCTCTTTGAAGAAGACAGAAACCCTTCAAAGCCCTTTAACGCATTTCCTATATGGCTCGATTCTTGAAGATAGCTTGTCTCCAATTCATAAACCTAAAGACACAAAAGAGAACACACCCAAAGATTTGTTTTCAGTTCCAATTTCTCTATGAAATTGAGGAATTCACATTGTTTCGATACGCAATTAGATAAACAACTGTAGAAGACATGCCCTAACCTGCTTCTCGATGCTCCGTAACTCTTGCCGAAGCTTCTCTCGCTTGTTCAAAAGGGTAGTGAGTATCGCACCAGGATCCGCCGAACCCTTTTGCCCTAAAGACATTTTCCGGGATGGTTTTTGTCCAAATCTCGCAGATTTTGCCCAACCTCGAGATGGGTTTGGCTAAAATCCGATGATTATATTGTGTGAGGAATGCGAATTGGGGGTTTTCATCGGTTAACGTCGGGTTCTCATGTTTCGTGGCGAAATCAATCTCGCTTTTTTTGTTTTGTGATGTTTTTCTTTTAATTTTATTGCTTTAGCTTTTTAACAAATCCCATTGTAAATTAATAATACACAAATACAAAAAGAATTGGTTAACAAATTTAGAAAAATCTATATTAAAACGTATATCATTAAATATATTTAAATAAAAATTAATTCAGCCAATAAAAGAAATACTGTATAATTTTTCATTATATAAAATTACATATGTTAAAGTTAGTAATTCACATAATTATAATATGTGGCGATTTAAATTGATAAAATTTTGACATATGTCAATTAATTATAAAATAGAATATTAATTTTTAAAAAATATTTTAATTAAAAAATAAAATTAAAATTAAAATTAAATAAGATTAACATCAATTTAGGATAATATAAGGTAAAATACTGATATATCATAATTTTTATGGTTTTAACCATGGTATAAGTTCTTTTTATTGAGTTTTTTTTTTATCTTTTTAAAGTCCTTGCAGGTTGTAGCATGTCTAGAGCATAATTGGAGATATTAAAGCTTTTTGGAGCATTGCAAGATGAAGCCACGAAGTGTGCAACTAGGAAGACTATTGATGGCTTGGGTGACGCTCGTCACCCTTAGGGGTGATGCTCGTCACACATAGAGGAAGGAGTCGTGGCCTTGTTTTTAAAAGATGGAGACTTATTTGCAGAATTAGCCCAGAAGTTCTAGTATTTGCAAGAACGTCCCAGATCGTGTTTTAGCTTGTATATATTAGGTTTTCAGCCATTGTTGGCTTTTATTTTAGATTTTTGAGAATTCAGAGAGCTTTAGAGAGGATTTTATTCAGAGTTTTTGGGGAGACAGATCTTGTACTCTTTTTGGAGAAGATTTCGAACCCCTTTGGCTTTTATTCTATTCTTTCAATGCAGTTTTATTCAGCTATGCTTTGTGATTTCATGATCATGTCTGAGTAATTTGCTAGTTAAGTTAGGGCTTTTCAAAGGTTGATGAAGAGTTTGTAGAATTGCTATTTGTTAGGAATATCTTTTGGTTCTTCATCTCTGTTTGCTTTAAAACCGATTTCTTAGACACATCATCTAGAAATCCGAAAATCATAGGTTGTTTGATAAATGTGAGAGCATTATTGATAACCTGACCTAGCATTAGATGAGCAAAACGATCTAGTGCAAAGAGATTTGGCTTATAAGTTTTGTGAACAGTTGAACTTGATCATTACTGCATATTTAGATTGTTAGGGTTTGCAAAGAAATTTGAAACTCTGTGATTTAGACATAGTTAACTTCTGCAATGAGAATTGATTAGTTATATATTTGCGATTCATGTTCAAGACGGTTCTTATTCATTCCTGATTTCATGCATTCTACTCGGATTCAACCTACGAATTGTCCTGACTTAGCACTTTTAGTTTTCTGAGTCTTAGATCAAACAAATTTCGCCTGCTTACTTTTATTCTGTTATTTCGCATTACATATGCTATTTATTGCTTAGCTTAATATGAACCTATAATCGATAGTGTAGTTTATATACTCATTTGGGATTCGATACCTCATATACTACATCTGCTTTGTTGTGCCTTGCAGTAGTTTATTTGAGTAAAACCTGAATCCTATCAAATACTAATTGTAAAATAAAAATAAAAATAATATTCAGAAATATTTTAATTAAGAAAAATATAATATAATAAAATTAATTAATATTAACTTCAATTTAAGCTAATCTAAGCTAAAACGTTAATTCTAAAAGAAAAATAATATACACATTTATAAAAAAAAAAAAGTTCTACCAAATTTTCACTAAGCAAAATAATTATTTTTCAACTTTACTTTAGCTTGTATGATTTTCCTTCATTACAGTAATACTAGGTATTTATCCGCGCTATGCTGCGGGATATTTTTCTAGATTTATATATATTTTCAATATAATAAAATTATTTATATATCTTAAATGAGTATTATATTTATTTTTTATTAGCTTAAGTTATGTATTTATATGTTTTAAATCTGAATAAACATTATATATCATTAATTTTTTATTTTTTAAAATTATAATCTACTATCAAATTTGTTTAGCTAACTATCTATAAATGTATATGTAAGAATATAACAATACATTTTTAAGTACCTTCAAGCTAATGGTAGATGTAATTTATTTTCTCTACAAAATTGCTACTTGATCCTCCTTTGAAATTATATAAAGCAAATTGCCATTTAAAAAAATATTAATTAATATGATTATTTTAAATTATAATATTTATTTATTTATCAAATATTTATTATAGACATATGTTTCTAAAATTACCAAACTATAATCAATAACATTCATATCAAAATCATTACTATTACTTTAGAACTAAATAGAAAGTTCTATTTGAACGGTTGAAATATCAATTTAGTTGAAGTTAAATAATTCAATTTTGGTTACTATAAACATATTATAACTTGAAAATTTAGAACAGAGAAATTTTATCTTTTTACAAAAACCGAGAAATTGCATTTTCTGCCAAAACCAAAAAAATTCATATTCTCGTCAAACCTGAAATTTCATTTTCCTACCAAAACAAATAAATTGTATTTTTCTTCAAAAACCAAAAAATCACACTTTTCCGCGAGAACATGTGTTTTTCCGTCAAAACAGAGAAATCAAGTTTTTTCACCAAAACCAAAAATTTCATCTTCCTGCAAAAACAAAAAAGAGTATTTTTCTGTCAAAACCAAAAAATTATTTTCCCGCAAAAATCGAGAAATCGTCGATTCCCACCAAAACAAGAAAAACTTGTTTTTCCTCGTCAAATCAAGAATCACGCTTTCCTACCAAAACCGATAAACTACAATTTTCCACAAAAACCAAAAATTGCATTATCTCCTGAGAAATTACGTTTCCCACGAAAATTAAGAAATCATGTTTTCCCTCGAAAACCAAAAATCAAATTATATGTCAAAAACTGAAAATTTGCAATTCTCATCAAAACTAAGAAATTGTTTATTCCTGCCAAAATCGAGAAATTTTGCTTTTCTATCAACCCAAGAAATTGCATTTTTTGCCAAAATTGTCAAATTACAATTTTTCGCAAAAATCAAGAAATTACATTATCCATCAAAAGCCAAAAAATTGCATTTTTAATCAAAACCGAGAAATCATATTTTTCGTCAAAATTGAAAAGTTGCATTTCCCTCGCATTTTCTCGTCAAAATCAAATTTTTTTATTTCTCACTAAAACCAAAAATTTACATTTTGCCGCCAAACCCGAGAATTTGCTTTTTTCCGCCATAACCGAGAAGCTATGTTTTCTTACCAAAACTGAAAATCACATTTTTCTACCAAAACCAAGAAATTCTCTATTTCCGCCAAACTCAAGAAAATTTGTTCTCGGTAACCAGTGGAAATGCGAATCTCCAAGCTGTGGTGGTATGAGTTTCTCCTCATTTGCTTTCGCCTTCTATTTTTTTTGTAAACTTTGGGCTTTGTAATGGGTCAGCAAAATAGTAAATTGATTTTATTAGTATGTTAATAATATGTATTATTGTTATGTTTTTATTGGTTCAAATTTTTGCTGATGTGTGAGTTTTTTATAACATAACGCTTTTTGCATTGTTGTTATGGAAGCATAGTTGATGATGAGTCTACACTTTCTTCAATCATATACGTCTCTATCAAGCAAAAACATAGTTAGAAATTTTAATTTTTTTTGCTGTTATTTATTATTTGAGTTTCGGTTTGGCAAATATATAAAACAAAGATTTAATTTTATTATTTGTTGTTATTTATTATTTGGGTTTGTTAAAAAAATAAAAGAAATTTTTTTTTATTTGTTGTTATTTATTATTTGGGCTTGGGCTTGACCAAAAAATAAAACTAAAATTAACAATGAAAAATATTTGAGTTTTTAATGGATTTAAGTTTAAAAGTTAAAATAAATTAATGACTTGTATTAATGAAATGTTTTTATTGGTGTTTTTTTTGCTGAAGTGTCATCTCCTAAAAGCTTAAAAATGCTGATGTATCAAGCCATGGAGAGACTTATGGGTTATTGTTGTGTTGATTACTGCAATCATATTTTAAGTTAATAACATTACACAGAACATATTACGTGTTGTTATATAACCTTTTTAATAACTCTTTTTTTCTTGCAAGTTTTAATTACTCTTCTAACTTCAGTTCTTTTTCAATATTCTTTACAGTATAAATATCATCAAAATAATGAATTCAAATGTTCAAATTAATTAGAGCAATTTTTTGACTTTGGATCAACTAAACAAGAAACGTCCATATCGCCTGAAAAGATAAATATCATATGGTATTGAAAATGTTAACATTGTCATCATCATGACAAGTGTTTTCATCAAGATGTATGAATGTGCAATTTATTTGTCATCTTCAAGAACTAAGTTCTACTTGAATCGTGATTATATTACTTCTTTCCAGAAAAAATATCTTATTAATATTTTTGAATTATATCTAATTTGTTTATTATGTTTAAATTTTAATTAATAGATTAATTATCTATTGTAATCTATTAGTGTCATATATGATGGTGAATGTTCCGTTAATGAATAACTAGATTTTACACTTAAAATCAGTTTATATAAAACTTTTGTTTTAAAAAAATCAGCTTATATTATTAACTCCAAAATTGTGGCCCAAACAGAAAATTTTAATTAGATTATATAAGTTATTTTTACATTATAGTTTTATGATTTTAAAATTATTTAGACTTGATTTTATAAAAAAGTTATTTTGATTAGCGGATTTTCTGTTAAATTTTGTAATAAATATTTTAAAATTTTATGTTTTATTATACAACAAAGATTTTATTTGTTTATAATTAAGATTTTAATATTAACTTAAGCTTTGTTTGTTT